TTTTTTTTTATGTATATATATATATAATATTGTTTGCTTTTTTTTACGAAAAATATTGTTCCCCAAAAATTTTTATATAAAAAAATTATTATCTAATATTTTTGATCAAATCATCATCATTATGTTAGCGGTTTTGTTTTTACACGTCATCATCTTTGCATAATATACGTAGATATATATATATATTTACAACCTCCTTAGTACAAACGGTTCAGATTATTTTCATCTTCGACGAATAAAAAATATTTCGCTAGAGAAAAAAATAATAATTAAACGATAACGAGAGTGAAAACGATGAGGTGTGGTGTCTCGTCCAAACAAATCAATCGTTATTTTCACCCCGAAAGAGAAAAAAAACAAACAATCAAATCTTATGTACAAAAACAATATTCTCTTATATATTATGTGTATATATATATATATTTGCCCGCGAGCGCGTTTTGTGTGTATGTGTATATATATATTTATATTAATTTCCTTAACTTACAAAACCGGGTTATCGAATTTGCTGCCCTTCGACACGTAGATGTCTTCGTACGCGCCGTCCTGTACCAGTTCAAGCACATCGAACTTCTTCAGTACAAGCAAACTGTAGAACTTCTGGGCGGCCTGCAAAAAGAAGAAAATTTGTTTAACGGATTGGTCAGATGAAACGTCCGAAGTCTTCGTGATCTTACCTGTTTCCTGGTGCTGCGATGGCACATGTCGGACAGCGTCAATTGATTGGTGTTGTTTATTTTCTGCCGTACAACGGTGAACATTTGGTATGCCCTCTTGTTCAGTACCCTCTCCTCGAATTGCTCATCGGATTCGTCAACTTGCTGTTCATCGGCCTAGAAAAGAGAACATACAATTGTTTTGACATGCTCGGATATAATAAATATAGTATTGTAGCGTTAAAGAACTTACGGGGTCGACAGAATGAGGGAAGTCGTAGTCTCCTTGCCATGGTGAGTGTATTCGCTCGGACATCGAACCGGCCGGTGTCTGAGCTGGCAGATGCTCATCATAGCCCATATTTGCCATTTGCATGTTTCCCTGAAAAATAAATAACAAATTGTTATGAATTCTGTAAAACTCGGCGAATCGAAGGTTTTTGTATTACGTGATCATAACCCATATTCTCCATCTGCGGTAAATCTACGCTGCCGAAGCTGTCGTGGTGCGGCGTTTGCGGGATGGCCAAACCGTGTCCGCTGAGCAGATCCTCCGTCGAAGCCGGCGTCATGGGCGGCACCAGGTTGCCCAACGAATCTTGCTCGTTGAGTAACGAGTGCACTTGGTCGGGTGGTAGTTGAGGCATCTCGTCCATGTGATGGTGAAGCGGCGTTCCGGGGGCGGGCGTTCCCGGGTATCCCATGATTGGCGTCGGGGGCGGTGGCATATCATCGTGTGAAGAATGTGGATCGGTCATCATGTGATGCGCCATATGTGGCGTTCCTGGCGCCATCATCTGAGGAGTGGGTGGAGCCATCATCTGAGGCGTAGGAGGAGCCATCATTTGAGGTGTGGGCGGAGCCATCAGCGGCGTTGGCGGCGCATGCATATGAGGAGAGGGAGTGCCCGGCGCCGCCAATGGCGTATGCGGCATCATCGAGGCTAAAGCGTCTTCAGGTTGTAACAAAGGTAAAGGAGTCTCTGGTTCTGGATGTAAAGGCGTCCGACTCTGAAATCAAATTAATAATAAATACAAATGACCTAACAGTCTAAATTTGTTGACAATTATGGAAATATAAAACTTACATGATCTTCCATATTTTTCCGTTTGCGTCCGCGTTTCCCGGGAAGAGGTGTCGGTTCGAAACTGGCCTGTTCTTCACTCTCTCGAATCTGATCGAGAGCCAACGAGTCGGCGTCTCCAAGCATGGCAAAGTCCTCCGTCCCGATTGACCTGGATATCAGATGCCTCTGGTAGTTCTTGAAGAGCGACCTAGCGGGAATTGGACGAGCAGGTAGCGCAAACAGTTTCTCCACACCTCCAGTTTCCTTCCAATGCATCAGCCTCTTTGTGGGAGGAGCCAAGTCCAATGTGGTCACAATATCGCTCGTGTCCGACAGCTGGTTCTTCATCTCCTCGCCGGATATGTTTTTGACTTCATCAACGATCAGTTTTCGTTTCCGCTTGCTCTTGTTGTTCACGCCTCGTATTGCAGTCGCGTCTACGGGAGGCAGGGCAAAGCTTTCATCATCGTTCTGCAAGAGCGTTGATTGGTCTACGGGTGTTTCCACTCGAATTTCTTCGGGTATGTGCGTTGGTGTCTCGCACGGAGGAACGGGCGTCGGGGCGGGTGTCACATGAGAATCAATTTCTGGAGCGGCAGTTGCAGCCGCCGCTGCTGGGGTCGGTGGTCGGCTGTTATCGGAGCTGTAACCACCTAAGGATGGAGGACCTCCGAAATCCATGTCATCATCACTGTCATCATGCGTAGGCGGTGGTAGCGGCGGTTCTTGCAGATGATGACTATCCACGGGCGGCAAATCACCCATCGGGGCGTCATCAAAAAGGCCACCTACAATCATACAATAAGCAACAATTCGACTAAAGATCAATAACTACTTACAAATCATCTTCTGATTTATATTCCCGCCAAAATCGTCGTCCGGGAGTGGCGCATCGACCTCCATGGGCGTATGTTGCGTGCCCGACGTCGACGGGATTGGTTCCCTCTCCTTATCCATGGTAACATTGTCGATGGGCGGACCATCACTGAATAACAGATTACTCTGAAATACAAATTCGTTTAATTATATTGTCAGCTATTAACTAATTAATACGAAATTACCTGTTCCATGGAGGGCTCTATCGATGTATGCCTCATTAAATCAGGGGCATCGGTATCGAAACCCATATCACCAAACCCATCGTCATGGGTGACAAGTGATATACTACCATAGTCTTCCCTCATCGTGATCTCTTCAGCTCTCGATTGATTCAAACTGAACTGAGCTTCGATATCTACATCGCTGTAACAAAACATTTTTTATATTAAAAATTATATATTTTTTTAAATATTATTTATACAGTGGAACCTCGCTTAACGAGTTTAATCTGTTCCAAAATTTCTGGATTTTTACACAAGTTTTAAAAATGATGTAGCAAGCGCACAATCCGGGACTTCTCTTCTCATCTTCACTTGTTATTCGAAACGTCGCTCGTTAAGCGAGTCATTTTTCTTACAATTAATTGTGCTCGTTAAGCGAAATTCCGTTAAGTGAGGTTCCAGTGTGTATTTAGTCACTCTTTAGATACAAATTACATAATATTTTGTTTATGCAAATTTTGTTTATTATTAAGCAAAATTATGGAAAATTTTAACATTAAAATTTATATTTTAATTTTTTATTTATACTATTTTTTTTTGTGAAGGCAAGTAACAATAATTTACTTTAATTATTTAACAGAAAAATGCAGGAACTGAAATAAAATAAACCTAAGTTTATGAGTATGTTAAGGTTTATTATAATAATAATATTATAATAAATAGAATGAAAAATAAACAATAATTCTAAATAAGATCAACCTTAGTATTTCTGCCTAAGTTTATTGTATTATAACATAATTTTATTTTTTTCTTATATTTTGGTAAATAAATAATTATTTACTTTATGTGGACTAAATAAATGAGACATACACAAATGTATTTGTAACAAATTATAATTTTATGTGATTCTCAAAGTGGGGGTTGCAAAAAAATTAATGACAAATCAATCCTGGATGTTTTTCTACACATACCCATTCTTTGGAGAGTCCAAAAGGGGGTTGCAGACAAAAAAGTTTGAGAATCACTGGTATAGAGCATTTTATTAAAAAAAAATATTTTTTAAGTTATTCCAATCAGATTGACACCAATTAGTAAGATTATTGTATTTTATTTTGAATGGTAATGTATAAGATTTTAGTTTCACATGTTGATTTTAGAAATCAAATTTTTGTATGGACTTGAATGGGAATGTGTTAGTTTAGTGATATTAAATGAAAAGCAAAGTGGGATGAATGAACTTACTTCAATTCAGGCATGGTGGTGTCAAAGTCGTGGAAGACTTCGGGCAGAGTGATGGCATTGACAGCAGCCTCTCGGTGCTCCTCAGGCAGATCAACCATGCCAGGCCGGAAGGCCATCTTGATCTTGACAAAGGCCTCATTACAATCAGCCAACAGATACTTGGCCTTCCTTGAGTAAATCCGGACAACACCAAGCAGCAAGTGTCCGGTGGTCCTCAAAGCCATCTTGACTTTAGGTTGCAGGATACCGTCCACGGACTTCTCGATGTTGGTCTCAAAGACATGGGCTTTGGTGAGTTTCTTATCCCAGTGGGCGGCGAGCCAGATCCGGGCCAGGGGGCCCTTCTTGGCAAGCACGAAGTGCGCGTAAAACATATCTTCTGCGGTTGGGCGCCAACGGCGCTGCGAAGATCAACAACAGTCGGCGATCCGAGTTTCGAACTGGACCTGCAAAGGTATTCGTAGTGGAGATCAGCGTTGCTCAGCTCATCGTATGTTGAATATACAGTTAACCAAAATCGGGGCTAGCGTTGGCGCTCAAATGGCCCAAACAATTGCAGCAAACTAACCGAAATCAGGGGAGCCACGACGGGCGGAATGGCTTCAATCGGTGGACACCACAGAGCACGATCATTACGGGACAGCCGGAACGTTGGGTCGAATTCGCGGGGCTTCACGGGGAACGAACTCAAATAAAAATTAAAAAAACGCTCCGCACAGTAAACACAACAACCAAACGACACAAACACGAACCTCCAAAATGGCGGCAAGTGAAGCCACAGTTTAACTTTGTACGGCGCATGCCTATTCCTCATCCACTCTTCGCGCCTCTTCTTCTTTTTCTTGTTCCTCTCCTTTCGCTCATTACTATGCCATGTTACGTTACGGCAGTTGTAAATAGTGGAGTGGTGGTGAAGAGTAAACCACTGAAGACCACGTAAAAATGTAACGGAAGCACCATTATAACCCCTGCACTCCCTTCCTCATCTAACCTTCTTAGAACTACCTTACAGATAATCCGATTCATAACTTCCGCAAACAAAAAGAAACCCCTTTTCCCAACAACCTCTATGCATACATGTTTCATAAAACATTTAGAATTCATGTCCACTAGAAAGTTTACAAACATTCACATAAGAAAACCAATATTAATATTTTTTTTTAAATTATTTTTATTAAATGACAAATTAAACTTTAGGTCTTCCATGGATTAAGAAAATTAGTGAATACTAAATCAAACCATACATCTTAATAATATTTATAAAAAGCGTAATATATTTTAAAAAGACATACTTTTAGAGAAAACAAATTGTTAAAGAACTTTCTACTCGATATTCTTTTAGGCAAATTTAATGCTAAGCAAACTTAACTTCTTTTCGAGAAAGATGTAAACATTGCATTATTTGATTTGATCAGACTTTCAAGAATGAAAACTTTAGCAATAAAATTTTCTGTTCCGATAATTTGCTTATTTTTTTTACAGATTCACTAAATTTAATTTTATTTGTTTAACTTGCCACCAGGTTGTAATATTTATAAATAGAAATGAAAATTATTCAGTATAATTATGGTTTTATGTCTGATTTTATGCGAACCAAGTTCTTGGTTGTGGCGCAATTGATTTTCTAAAAAATACAAATATTTTGATTTTAGAAGAAACATAAAATAATTATGATTTGCCTACATGAATTAATAATATGTATAACCTATATTGTTTTTTTTTTACTAAGATCATCCCTCCACAAAAACTGCATTCAATTTTATGATTTTGCTGACTTTATTGCGGATGATTTGTTTAATTTTAATAAGAAAAGACTAAACATGTGCAGACATAAAAAGTTAAGCATTAATTACGCAAATAATGAGGTAATAATATTATATAAGTAAATAGTTTATTATATAACTTGCATAATTAGTTTTAACAATTTGCGATTTTATAACAGTTTGTTTTCTATCTACCTCGTTATTAACAAGAGAAACATTATACATAGATTTGATGTTGTGACTTCTTTTTATAGTAAATCATTTCACATTTAAGTAATTTACATGTTTAAATTTGTAATTTTAAATATGTAGTGTTTATTTAGTTGCCAATAATTGTGAATTTAATGTCTGTTTTGTGCTAGGTATTGTTATCTGTCGGAAAATGTTGAAAGGTAGTAATAGTTGGGAAAGATTGGCGCTGTTGCATTATTAAATTTACATGCAACCTCTTATACAAAGTGGATGTTACTCCATCTATAATCATCGCAAGTAAAGTTATAGATCCACGGTATTGGCGCTTTATAAAATTTAATTACGTGAATATATTTCAAAATAATCATTAATTTTTTTGATGATTTACACAAACTTTCTTACTGTACCTATCTACAGACAAACATCAAGATAATGACATTATATAGAGTATTGGCTATGAAAGGATGGAAATCATTTGGTTATTGCATTATAACATTTTTAAAGACTACTCATTAAGTTTCAAACATGATCAATAAAAATCAGATAGTCAATTTATCCTGCATTGATAAGATTTGATAAAAAAATATTTTTTTACATAAATTATTTCAATAAAATTTAACTAATACATAAACATATAATATAATTTCAATAGATGCAGATAAAATATTCGAGGAAAATTACAAGCAAACAATACTATCATAATCTTAATTTTGAATAAGTTATTAAGAGAACGGTTCTTAACTGTTGTTATTGAAAACACAAGACTTAAAATAATCGGGTCTATATCGAAATCCCGACATGGAGATCAACAAGTCAGTTGACTGTATCAAAATCCCGACTACATTGAAAATTTCTACAACATTTTTAAATTATTCCGGAGCGTAGTCATAATAATTATCAAAATAATATCATTTGCCGAGTACCCATAAAAATGTAGTACATGATGACTACACTCGGAAATAATTTAAAAATATTTTTGTAGAAATTTTAATAATAAAAGATACAGTCGGGATTTTGATATAATCACATATTGAAAATTTAATTTTCAATACATATTAACATGATAAAATGTGTTTCAGCTCAAACTATAAAGGAAACTTCATTACGTTGAATTATCTACTAAAAATTGAGGATTATAATTGCAATTATTACGCACTTCATTTTACGTTCAGGTCAATTAATTGCAATCAGTAAAATATATTATTAAACTGACGTATACCCAATTAATTTAGGCATGTATTGACGTAACAATAATTAGCAAATTGATAACATCGTGCATACAGATAATTTTATCAGTTTCACGGAGTTATTGTTTTCTTTTTGTAACTAAAAGTGCAATCTTCATTAAAATTGCAATTATATTGAATATGTATTAGCTTTAAACAACGTGAAGCGTATTTTTATTAGCGTTGTTATAACTATGAATATCATATTTATTTTTAGGAACATTATTATCTTGCTTGTTGCGCTCTATTTTCGGTGCGACTTGTTTTCGTCTGCACGAAATATTTGCGTGCTAAATGCGTTGTTGAGATGGGAATAAGTTTGGAGAGGATCAAATAGAAGATACAAATTGTTTGTGCTTTCTGCATCTTTTCTTTAATATTAGACACATATATTCTTATTCTGTCTTTTATACCAATTATATAAAAGTGGCAAATATATAAATTGTATATGTAAGAAAGTGGTCTGTTTCTTTCTTGCACTTCTAATATCATTTCAATTTGGGCAGTATCATCTCCCAATAAATATAGACCATGTTTATCTGTAATGTAGTAACAGCCAATAAACAGTCATGTCGATTATAACAAATAAATATATAACTTTTGCATTTGGGCAAAACTGCTTTTTTGAAAGCAAATCAATCGATTAAAAATATTACATATTTCATTTAACAATTATATATATAAAACAAGTAAAAACTAAAACACAGATGAGACGCGTAAATGTAAATCTTGCGCCCCATTGACTATAAAGAATAAAATAACGCACCTCCCTTTTTTTGTACTTTTCGACCGGATTTCGTATTAAAGTTTCGACTCGGTTCCGTTTGCGAAATTCCAAACAGAAAGTTGAATTGTTAACGCTTTGGCATTTACCAGAAATTAATGTACAAATTGCAGTCTTTTATTGTTTACTTTCAATAAATAATTTTCAACTTAGATAGTAAGTTGGATGCAGGTATTTCCAGTAGCTTTGATCTTGGACGATAGGTGATGGTGACAGGATGATATCTGCACCAGGCGTGGAGCTGGGAAGTTGTGGCTCTACCCTTTCTCGCACCACCTGCTTGCCGTGATCGTTCGATATGAAGTCAGGAGCCATCTGATCGTTCATTCTATTGCTGTTTCCTAATAAAATATCCAGGATGTTCTCGTCTTCGTCCAGCGTTAAGTTAATTTCAGAGACTGTCCTATCGTTATACGAGTAAATACTGTTGCAGTTGTGATCACGGCAATACTGCTTATACTTCTTGGTAGCATCTCTTAAACGCGTGAGGAAATCCGGCATCGCTCTGTACGCTACCCAGGCCGTCACAGATGCAGGGATGTTCACACCAGGATTATCGTAGTAAGTTAAACTAAATTCGATACCTGGCTTGTTGATCTCCGTGTAAGGCTTAATTACCATAGACGACCAATAATCCGACACTCTGAACTTATTCGATTTTGCAGGATAATCTGGATGTTCAGTGCCTTTGCTCAGTAACATCACAGTCCTCTGAGCTGGATCCACTAGAAACCTACGATTAAACACATAATCCCTGTTGGAAAACAATCTCTAAAAAAAAAATGAAAAAAATATTAGATTTGGAGTTTCCAAGTATTTGTGAAAATATTACAGGCCATTGCATCTCCCAATAAACAAGATCACTATTTGATGGTATACAATCTGTTTCAATGACTTCCAGTGCAATTGCAGTTGGATCCCATTCCTTTCTATAAGTGGTATCAATTTGGACACTCAGAAAATCTTCTGCTGTGACATCATTATAAGAACCGTACACTTTATATTCATAGCTTCCACTTTGATGTAACCTCCTCCAAACAATCAAATCATTCTGCTGTATAAACAATGACCAGTTTTCAAAGGTATCCAAAGAGGCTTTCCTGCCTTTGCAATCACAGAAAGCCATGATGTTCTTGTCACTAATCTCTGGCTCCTGATTGCACACCTGACATTTTACTGTTTTATCTCGAAGCAGCTGTATATATTCAATTTCGTTCATGTGGCTTCTGATCTCATCATCAGATATTCTGTTCCTCTCCCAGTTGTAGCATACCACTCCAATGGCACTAAAGAGGCATTCCTTGCCGTTCCTTGTAAGCTGCTTTCTCATATTCTTGATGAGCTCTCTCAATGCATGCTCCTCCCATAGCTTTGAATAAAGTGAGAACATTTGCTGTCCCCTTCGAACCCTTTGTGCCAGCACACACTCACATTGCCTTGCCCATACCTTCAACAGTTTTGAAGGCTCCTGTCTGAAGCTGTTCCTGAACAACTTCTCGAGCGCCAGTTTACGCATCTCCAGCAGTTCGGCCAAATTGAACTTACGTAACGACATCGAGTACTTGAATAGGTTGTTGTCGGCTTTTAGTAACTTGAATTGGAGGACGACATTTTTAAGGTTATGGGTTGAACTCATGATCGTCTGGCGAATATTCCTCGAGTACATTATTCTGCGGTTTCGTCGGATCACTCCACACTGGCCGCCTTTCCGATAGACAATTCCTGTTTACGTCTTGTTTCTGCGGGGTATATGAAGGTGATTTATTTTGATGATGGAAAGTTACTGAAATTTTGACATTTTTTGTTTGGGACCAGCACTAGATGTGCAATTCCTAGGGAATTGCACTCCAATCGCTCGCAACGTTGGCAACACCAGCCCAAATTCAAATCATGGCGGTGTAAAAATTTATATTACATCATTATTATATTACTTAGTTACTTAAAATATTAATATAAATATAGTACAATATCATTGGACTTTGTATATTTTCGATCTATGTATACATAAATTGTATTGTTTCAATAAATATTGATTGTATTTTACTAATTACAACTGTTTTCAATGAACGTGTTATTACATAATTCAAATTATAATTAAATATTACAATTGTATAACATTTAGATTTAGTTCCAATTCAAAAGTATGTCAGCATGTGAAAAGGACTCTTGGAGAGATTACAACTTATCGCGTCAGTGATACTTAATTTAAGTCACATGAGAACGTGAAGAGGCGACGAACTGATCGAAATAAGTCAGCATTCTATTTAACGGTAGGTTAAATTGCCGATACGGGATTAATGCCAGTTCATTTCAGTATTTGGCTCGCCTCAAGTCATCCAATTCCTTCAAGATTCCTTCTATTTATAATCCATTAAAACCTTTTTATCCCTGAATGGGAAACCACGAGAAACTACTTATCATATGTACTCCACTATTAACACTCATGTATAAATGGTTACAAACTTTAAGTTAGTAATTCAAACTCGGTATTTTCGACTTTCAACTAACAGGATGTTTTGACCAAAACATAGAAGTAATAAACTATTTAAAAGAATAATTTAAATCAAATATTTTTTAAGATAAATAATTTGAATTACAAATGTAATTAGACTTTGTTGTTGACATTTCCAATTTATACTAGTCCCATTAATAAATGTATAGTTTAAATATTATTTATCATGTGTAGTACTAATTTTTTAAGTTAAAAATAAAGCTATATATTGAAAACTGTTAATTATTTTGAAGATGGATTGCGTCGTGGCTATCGTAGGAGCAGGAATGGCAGGATTAGGAGCCGCGAGGCAACTGATCTCGGAAGGATTCAAAGATTTTCTAATCATAGAAGCTGGTGTTAAAGCGGGAGGAAGGGTGGAAACTCTGAAGGTCGGTCAGAGTGTAATCGATTTGGGCGCACAATGGGTGCACGGAATCGACACGGACCTCTACAACCTCGCAGAGAAACACGATTTAATCCATCCCGAAACCTCGGACGAGGCTTTAGGAATTTACATCCGAGAGGATGGTTACAAGTTTGACGATTTTCTAGTCAACAGAGTCGACATCGAAGTTGGCAAAATTCTAACCGCATGCGAAAACTTCGTAGACGCCGACGAATATCCACATTCTGTAGGCGATTTCTTGGAGGAGAAGTTTCAAAAGTTCGTGGATGAATCAGAGGAAGATGCTAATCTATTATGGCAATTGTACGATTGGCACGTCCGTTTTCAACTTATAGATAACTCTTGTGGAGATCTCAAACGCTTATCCGCGAAGGAATGGGGAAAGTATTCGTGTTTAGGAAAAGATGGTCAAGCTCACGTCAACTTAAAAGGCGGCTATGGGGCTTTAATTGAAGCTTTACTTGGCGATATACCAAAAGATAAGATTTTAATGGATACAGCTGTTGAGAGAATTGATGAAACTTTTAATGGAATGGAATTATGTTGTTCGAAAGGAGTAAAGATTAGCGCGAAACATGTAATAATCACTAGTTCTTTGGGAGTGTTGCAGCGAGAAAATGAAATGTTGAATTTTCAATTACCTAAGGAGATTAGCGATGGTATAGATGCTTTGGGTTTTGGTGGAATGGGAAAAGTGTTTTTGCTTTTCGATGAGAATTGGTGGAAATGTGATGGGTTTCAATTGATTTGGAAAACTCAGTTTTGCGAAGACGATCTCTGGATTAGGCACTTATCTGGTTTCGATAACGTTTTGGATCAACCCAACATGTTGGTAGGTTGGGTTAGCGATCTGGGAGTAAAGGAAATGGAGAAAACTTGTCACATTAAAATTGGACAACAATGTGTCGATTTATTAAGGAAATTCCTCAACAGACAAGAAATTCCTTATCCTAAGAAAGTTTACAAGTAAATATCAATTAGTTTAAAAAAAATTGTTTTACAATATTTCTCAAATAATTTCAGAAGCAATTGGTCTACCAATCGTTGGATTCGTGGAGCTTACAGCCACACCACCCCTGATTCCGATAGACTAGGTGTTGGACCATCTTCCTTAAACATTCCCGTACAAATCAACTCGATTCCAAGGGTGTTATTCGCAGGTGAAGCTGCGCACGAAAGCCATTTCTCCACCACGCATGGCGCTTACGAATCCGGGCAAAAACAAGCGAAACACCTGCTCAAATTTTTGTGATGCAAAGCACACCTTTTACATATAAATAAAGACATTTTCATTTTCCCTAAATTGTCTATTATTTAGCAACCGAAGAAACGAAAGTAAAAAATAATAATAATTGCGGACATTCGATTAGATTCTTGGCGGCACAAAAGCGTTTCGAAACTGCTTCGTCTCTCGACGCAAGGAGAAGGTTCATTAAAAGCCGAAAATTCTATTGTTACACTAAACTAGCGCTTTCACTCGGAACATCGCAGATACGAGGAGCCAGGTGAAAGTCAAATTGTGTAACAATGCTGTGGGAAGCGAGACATGATAAATAATTCAGCTTGAAACATGTTAATTTCCAGCTGCCACTTCTATTATATACAATGTTTTAAAGTAAATAGACAGATACTAGTTTAGAGTAATATTAAGGACATTTAATTATATAGAAAATCGTTCGATAAACATGAAATTTTCTTATATAAATGAAAATTAATAAACATATTTATTTAATTTTAACACTACAAAAGTATAAGACAATAATATTAGTCATTATTTCGTTATTAATTTAATGTCGAAGTCAATTTTGACAGACTTTTATTAAAATTTATTTTATAATTTCCTACTAATTCGTTGAAAATAAACAATAATTTAAGACTATTTCTGAAGTAAACAACTCTAAGAACATTATTACACTTCCTATGTAAGTATTTCAATCAATATTGATTACTTGAATAAAAGTATTTTTTCAAATATAAATTTAACGTAGTAAATAAAAGTTAAAAAAATGTTTGTTGGAAATAATATTATTGCTATACAAAGTAATCTAATATTAAACATGAAATTTAGGTTGTTGGAAGTGGATTATCGTTAAATGGGTTTTCAATTTTTCTATACTAATATAAATCAACGTTTCTTTATAAATTTTACAACATAGTTGTTTGTACTTAAGCTGCAACTCAATTTCTAATAGTTTTTCACCGGTTCCTCACTTTCGACAGATGCTTTTTCGATACATACAAATTTTGTACAATAATTAATTTATGGTTATTAAAATCACTTCCAAGTTTTATCCTCAATATAAATGTTTTGAAATTGTGCAACATAAAGCATTGTCCGAATTAAGTTTTTCCTAGGACCTGGCGCCAGTTAACTCTTTCTATACCCAACAAATTTTTAGACAACTTCGTCAACTGAATCAACATCTGATGTTATGAAAAATCAAGATTCATCCTTTAAAATACCAACCAAATTAATGGGTAATTCTTCTTTCCTGAACATTTTCTTAAAATTACTAGGCATGATCAAAAGGTGGTATTCGTGTGTCCCGCCGTCCCTTAAAGAGTTAAGTAGTAAAAAATTACGTGGGGAAGTGGTCTATTATTGATATCTTAATAAGAAAATATCTGAAATCTAATTCAAATAGGCCTCAAAAAGTCTCGTGAATAAGACGTTTTTTGAAGGCGTGAATGAGACATAAATGAGAAGTAAACTCAATATGATAAATCCTCTTTTGATTTAATGAAATTAAACTTGGCTGTCGACAAAGGTTGAAACGACTTTTACATTAACTGGGTGTGCATAATAATGCAAAAATTTTCTAAATTATCATATTTAATAAAAAAAGTAGAAAATTGTACTACAATTTCTCATTTTTTTTTTAATATAATCTTATATATTATACTGGTAAATGTTTCAAAGTATTACCAATATTACTTCGCTTAACGAGTTTAATCCGTTCCAAAATTTCCGGATTTTTACTCGTATAGTGAAACATATTAAAAATACACATATATGTACACAAGTTTTAAAAATGATGTAGAAGGCGCGCAATTTGGGACTTTTCTTCTAATAGTCTCGTTATGCGAAACGTCACTCGTTAAGCGAGTCATTTTTCTTACAATTCATTTTTCTCGTTAAGAAAAATGCTCGTTATGCGAGGTTCCACTGTACTTCTTAATGACTTAGTACAAATTCTACTTAGGAAGATTCCAAGTAATCAATGTGTATCGACCATTGTTAATAATTCTGCAAGGACTATTGTTCTACACAAATTCAGAATTCCATTTGATAATGACTACAAATATGTACATGTAAAATCGACCAAATTCTTCTTCAGAAAAGTACTATCTTCCATTACCAAATATTGTACTCCCACTATGTTAATTCACTACTATTAGTAGGATGTTTATGTAAAGAAAAGTTAGTCTTAGGCTTAGTCGGAGGGTTGAAGATAAGATCAACACTTGTATAGTTGAATTTTCAATAAAAACACTGATATGTACAATAAAACTAATTAAGAATATTGCAATTAATATTCATAAACTACACATCCCTACACTACACAAAATTATATTTTTTTAAATAAAATCGTATATATTACCAGTTTGAAATGATTATTAATATGAATTTACCACGAATTGTTTAAATTTGATTTTAAGTTTATATGAAAAATATCTATTATTTCAAAGCTTTATATTTGAAACGTATTGTATATCATTTATATGAATAGTAAAGAAAGTGTTGGTGATGTAAGAAAAAAAATATGTAGATTTTTAAATAAGTAGCAATATAAAAATAAAAGCAGTGATAGTTGCGAAAGGTAGTAAACAGATTTATTTCAGAGATTGAAAGTGGAAGAGGCAATTACTTTGTGCGATGCCTAATTTGGCATTAATGTTATGCGCATAGCATTCGGAATTGGTTTTAATTAGAAATGTTGATGGCAACAGGAAAAACATTCATTTCCTACGCGCATAACTTGAATGGAATTAACAACAGACGTGTTACCGCTGAATTAGGGAGGAGTAGAGAAGCAATAGAGATGAACATCTAGCCAAGAAACTTTCTTTTCGGTAGTTACTTAGAGCATATGACCTTCGGATAAGTTCAAATGGCAACGGCATTCCGAAGCCGGAGCAACTCTTAATACAACCTTCGCGTCTGAAATAAAAAAAAAACAACTAGATTACTTATATTGGAAACTAACTCTTTATTGCCATACCAATAATACATTCATTGAATTTGTACCACTTTGTGTTTTTATTTATTTTTTGTTTGTATAGTGTATGTGTGTGTGTATCGTGTATTAAAATATTTTCTTGAAATATATATTTCTATATTACATTTACATATATCGAAGCATTTTCACATGTCCCATTTTGATTACATACAGTTTTACATTCTGAACAAACAATAAATACAGTTAATACTATTTGGCAACGTACAATATAAATACATTATTCTTTGCTTTTTTCCTTTTTCATACTCGCCTTTCCATTTATTTCTTTACTTCTTCTCCATTCATATATCATCTGTTTGTACATATATATAATAACAACAAAAAGAGCGTTTCTTTAAAAAATATATCTATATATTTATGCCTGTTTAGCCTCCTGATATGAACACATTCTGTCAACAACGAGAACAAGAAGTAGTAGTTTATTTTTCTGCTGATGTTACTGGCGCATCTGAGCTCGACCCGCGGGAGATTCTACATCAAAAATTGAATTAAAAGAAAAACACAAATCAAATTCTAGTCATCTTTAATTGCGTTTCATATATTTAACAGGACCATTGAACCATTGTTATCATCATCATCTCACACAATCACAACACGAGAAACGAATGGATATTATTATAAATGAACTTAAAAGGTTAATTTCACGTAAAAAAAAATTACACATATATCATTAAGTACTGCACCGTTGTTGAATATGGATAACGAAAAAAGGATAACTCGAAAGAACGAACAATAAAAAAATAATAATTAAAAAAAAACAAACAAACAAAAGTTAATATCCCTATGGAGAGCGAGGAATGTTAATAGTGCCGACTAAACTTAATTAATTACAAAATAAAAAATAATGTAGTAAATGCAAAAATTTTCTATTACAAAAAAAAACTATTACTTTATATATAGTGTGTCATGACAAAAAAACGAGCTGTGCGCTTTTTTTGGATGACGGGAGAGTAGCACATCTAACCGGATCACACAAACTATTATTTCACTTTAATCATATATGCACGATTATTAATATTATTTTTTTTTGTAACTTTTCATAATATTTTTGTTTTTTTGTTTAAATTAAGACTTATGAACTGGCAGTGTGTGTTGTTGGTTATGGTTTTAGGCGGCGGCTTCCGCTTCGGTCTTGGATGTTTCCGTTTCGGCGGGTTCCTCGAGTTTGGCTTTCTTCTCGGGCGTTGCGCCATCGGCCTCAGCCTCTTTGGCATCGCCACCAACGGATTTCCTCTTTATGCAACACTTGTCGCCATCTGCAAAAAAAAAAATAGAAATATAAAAGTTTTTCTTTTTTTTTGGTTTGGTTCTAATCACTGTAAATATAATTTATGGAAATAGTAATTCAATGTTATCTAAACCAGGTGATAAGGTTCTCCCCACTTCCAAGAAGTCCAGGTGGTAATTTATTTAAATAAGCGCACACCCCAGTGTTTTTTTTTACTTGTTATCAGAGTTTACTTAGCATATAGTCTGTTGGTAGGAAATGGCTTTAGTTAACAGCCGTAACTGTGTTATCTTATCGGTTATATTGGATTTTTCACAGTGAGCACACGGTGTAATGTGTTTCCTGCAAATCGAGCTAGAAGTATACTTATGATTTTAGTAACAATGAGAAGCGATAAGTGCTTCGTATTATTAATACACACACATTTCATAACAGCTTTCTCAATTTGTCTGCTCTTTCAGATCAAACTAGAATTACTTTTTTTTTAATGGACTTGACATAAAAAATGATTTTTATTATAAACTTATTAACTAAATATTAAATTTTATTAGAATTAAAGCATTAACATATTTTGTAAGAATATATGTCCAAACAAACATTAGGATGTCAGTGTATTTAAACACTGACTTTGAGTAAATGTGACCTAATTTTGTATTTCAAACTAATTTGGTTTCAGATGTACTGAATATTAAAGAAACCTTGCTCCATTTTATTGGATTTCACAACTTCACTGGAAAAGCAGAAGCTGCTGGAAATATACAAATACTTTTATTTTGGTCTCTATATATTTAGGTCCTCATATCCAACTTCTTTAAATCTGACTATATTTGAATATTCTAAAAGTAAATTTCAAAAGTAGTTCATTTGCAAATTAATTCGCAGTATTTTCACAAAATTAGTATTTTTCATGTACACAGAAGTCTATCAATTTATAGCAACTTCAAGAAGAAGTGTATTCAATGCTATTATATAATAAAAATATATATTTTCTAGTCAAATTACAAAATTTAATACAATAAATTAGATTGGTTTCTAACACTTTTTCAATTAAGTTGAAACAACTTTGTTCATATTTTAGTAATATCGATATAAAAAAGAAAGTATCGATAATAATAGTCTTTACACCTCACATAGTCCGGCTTCAATCAGTTCTGATTCAACATAGTCCGGTTTGAAAATTTAAAAAAAAAACTAGAAAATTTAGATACAAAACTATTAAAACTATTGTTTCTTTCCTCTTTTGTTTGTGCGGTTTAATTGTTGTATGTATTCAATTTCTCGATTAGTCCGGTTTCAAACAGTCCGGAATCAATTACTCGGACTATGCGAGATACTGCTGAGATTGTATAAAGCAATTAATGTATTTGATGGAATTTTAAACAAGTTACTTGTTATGTTTAAAACGTTTACATATAAAGTTTATGACGCATTGAAATGATTTTATTCCCACTATGAACTTGCAAACCAGGCTACTTTTGATTCCCAGAAAGGCAAAATACGTGACGACTTCTGCGATACTACAAAATTCCCTGTCGTTAAATTATTATTATATTATTACAAGAAATCTGCTTAAAGAAAAAGAAAAACAATGAATGTTTCGTTTGTCCATTTTTCTCGGAATCACCAATGCATGGATTCCATGTCCATTAAGAAATCATTCATTAGAAAGCGCTATTTATAAACCTCCATTGTAGCACGAGATATAATTTGTTTGTATTGTGCGTTAGTTAGATACGACGGTAATAATAATAATAAAACTCTACTACGGACAAAACCATATTTGATGTTTGCATTATATATAGGAAAAAGAAAATAATCAATACTACGTTAAATGTGTAATTGGACATGACACGAAATTGGAGCAAGTGGAAAACGCTTTACTCGTCACTTTCCATAGTGATAGAGCGACGGAGAAAACTCTTATTGCGCAGCGAATTATACCAAAAATACATTTTTAAATTAAACAAAAAGACAGGTTTCGTGGGACTTCTTTAATACTTTTGTAAAGCAGTTTATTATACTTTTCAAAGTAGTTTTTTCTTCATATTGAGAAGAGTTTTCACCGCTTCTGTACTGAATTTGTGCTTTACATGCTTAGAACGAACGCATTCGTTAGAACCGGTTTGAATATTTAAATCCGAAAAAGGGAAGTGGTTTCTGTGCTAAACGACAGATGTCTCCGCGCAGTTCAAGTCCTTTTAAAGGCAAATCCATTATAAAACAACAAAAAAACTTACTCAAGCTGTTAAAGCTATCAACTAGTATAAAACATATAGTGAGTGAAGGTTATAAATAGACTTTAAATATCGTATCATTTTGAATACAGTGAATGTTAAATATTGCTGAATAATCCTATAGTGTTGACAAAACTTTGATTCGTCCCAAAAAAATATTAATATTCAATTTTATAGAGAGAATCATTATTTTAACTTACAGGAAATATACTAAGTCTCATAATTCGAGTTTTGTTAGTTGGCCCAAAACATAAACTTTCCAAACCCACAGGTTATGACCCAAATTGCATGGTAATTATGGAGACTTACCGGTGGTTTCGGTGCTATCATCTCCGTTCTTGGCTTCTTCTTCCTCCTTCTTCTCAGCATCGCCGTTTTCTTCAGCCTTGCCGTTCTCAGCTTTGGTCTCTTCCTCTTTCTTCTCCTCTTCCTCCACCACGGGCTTCTCTTCCTCTACCACCTTCTTCTCCTTCTCGGTCTCCTCAACTGGAACTTCACTGTAAACAAAATAATATTACTATTTAAAAAAAACAATTTATATTAAAAATAATATCTAGATAATATTTTAGTAGTGACGATAGAGAAGTTGAATATGCGATGATGAAATACATGTTGATATATAAAAATGAACTATGTAATTTTCCCATAATTTCAAGCGTAGGAGTAAACAACACAAAAAACGCGTGGTACCACAATTTATATAGAATATAATTTAAAGTCTCAGTTTTTAAAATAGAAAAACAATAATATGTCTAATTGTTAATTATAAATATTTAATTGTGAAAACTTAATTTGTAAATATTTGATTGTCAAAATACTCTCTCTGTAAATAACAATCATCGTTATAAATGTAACGAAACGTATGCCGTTAGATTAATTCAATTGTGCTGCGTACAAACCGACATTGTTTCCTAACTTCCTTCAAATGAACAAAAAAAAAGAATTGTATTCAAGTTTATCGTTTCTCAATATTACATAAATAAAGTGTGGGAATTTTTTTTTAATTACATTACACATTGTTACTTGAAGAGAATGACTGTCCTTTGTAATATTTATTTTTATATCACATAAGTAACAAATATAGAACTTATTTCTAGAATTTTAGACTTCAAGCACATTTATTGAAATAAATTTATTGGTTAGAAACGAGTTTCTTTTCTCACGAAAACTGATGAAGTGAAAAATGAATAAAAGAAATAAGTTACACTTTGAGACTGGAATAAAATATTTGTTTAAACTTCCCACAAAAATATTACAAAAAACAACATAGAGCATCAATAACAAAAATAAACATAATTTGTTGACGTTTGAATGAATGTGAAAGAGCTATCTTATACTGAGATCTGTTCATAAACGTTCGAAAACCGAATTGTTCGTTAACCGATGTTGGATTTAAGAAACTGCTCAAGTTTATATCATCGATTGATTCTTATACAAATACAAAAATTTGGCGAAAGTGTATTTGTCTGAACTGTTCGTTAACTGAATAATAAATTTAAAATATTGTCTATTTCTCTTTTCCTCAGAAAACAACAAAAACTGAAATATAAATATATTTAATATAATGTATTATTCACTTAACTTAAGTCTACATTTATTTGAGAAGGTCAAAGTATACACTTTCCTAGTTTATAAATGCTTTGAGTTACAGTAAATAAATTAGATTGTTTACAGACTTAGTTTAAAAAACTGAACAAAATATTTGTGAATTTAGTTATTATAAGTTTATTATTTAAAAACAATAATAAAGATTGATGATAGTTTAGCAATGTGTAAGGTGAATTAATTCCATTTGACAATTACAATGGCAATAGTAAATTGGTGAAGATGTTACAAATTAGATAATTTCGAAAACCATTGCATACATATGTATTTCTTTAAATATTTATTTTAAATGTGACGTACGATATGAATAATATACTGTCAAGTCCACTAATTTTTTATAACTTAAAGTTTTAGACTTTCTGGGAAAAAGTAGATGGGAAATTTTCTAACAATTATTTATTTAATGAGTATTTTGATTTATAATAGTTGTAATGTATATATTGTTACTAATAATTTGATGTTATAATTACTTTTGTAAAAAGTTACTGTTTATAAATTGATTTTTTGTATTAAATCCTTGTTTTGTTGTGGTTACATAGATATGTAATTATTTGTGTTATTGTAAAATTGTTGTACTAAATAATGTCACTAATAATTTAAAGTTATAATTACTTTTATAAGTGTATTTTTACTGCGTATAATTTGAATTTTTTGTATTAATTCCATGTTTTGTATAAACATGTATGTTTGTGTTGGCAACAAAGAAAGAAAAGACACTTGAGAAGTGAAGTGAGAGCACTCACAAAAAGTTGTTTACAAAACAAAAGCGAAGCGTGTTTATTGTTATCGCAGTCGGCACTTGTGTGTAGTTTTTGAATCCTCTTCCAATGTGCAAATTGCATCCTTCAGGTGGCGCTGAGTCGCGAAGAGCGGTCGTTAAATTCGCGTCGTCCTTTTTTCGCACAACCCAATGTGTACAGGACATAGAAGATAAAAATAAACGGCCTCAAGGTTTCGCGCTCTGTTTGTTAATTCATCCTCTCTTTTTATGTATATATTCTTTCAGGTCGGCCATTTTGTCGTGGACCGGCGCCAAAACAAGCACGAACCGGTGCCACGAGTTTTTTTTTCTGTGTTGTATGCATGTCTTCCGTTTCTTTTCATCTTCCTCGAGTTTCCCGCAAAAACCTGAAGGGTGTTTTTTTCGAATGTGATTGTTGTGTTTGTGTGTGTATATACTTACGTTTGTTCTACTTTCTTGTCAGCCATTCTGGATAGAGTTTAGAGCTTGTAGCACGAATAGAGCGAGTAGATGTATAGAGTTGAACTGCCGAAGGATATCTCTCGGAGAGAAAAACGTACGGACACCGGCTAAAGTCGCACACAAAATGAAAGAGAAAACTGGGAAAGAGACGCAGCAAGGAAGCGGAGCGACGCGCTCTCCCATTGGTCCGCTTTCGTAATAGGTGAAAACGTCGGTGGCGCTCGCCAGTTTCCGGTAGCGTTGCCGAATTTTGCCGCAAATTTTGAATGATGTTACTCCTCACCTCTCCGCCTAATCATCATATAAAAGGATGTTTCGTCATCGTCGCAACACCGAAATATTTCTTTCGCTCTGGTTACCGGTTTATTTCGAAGCGCGCAAAAACCGCGCTCGAGAGGAACAAATGACGTTGCCAAATCTCGCGATTCCGAGAAATCTTGGATTCTTGTTCATCATTTCAGATAGCGGGAAATGCACGTCGTTATTTTCGTTTGCTTTCTGTTTCCTTTCCTCTCTCTCTCACCCCCTCCTTGTTATACTAGAACCTTTTCACGCATAACAACTTGTATCTAGGATTCTAACGGAAAAGTACTGGCAATATAAGTTCAACAAGTGTTGATTTGTTGGATTACTAAATTGGTTGCCATGACAACATAATTCAACATTAATTTAATTGTAAAATGAGTATAATTGCAGTAATCAAAATATTTTTTAAATACGTTTTGTAAAGAGAAAATGCGTATAAAATTTCATTTATTTTTAGAACCTTTTCACGTATAAGACATAACTTGTATCCAATATCTTAACGGAAAAGTACTGGCAATATAAGTTCAACAAGTGTTGATTTGCTGGATTACTAAATTGGTTACCATGACAACATGTTAGTGTCATAATAATGATAAATTACATTATTTTAATTGTTACATTAGTATAATTGCAGTTATCAAAATATTTTTTTAAATACGTTTTGTAATAGGACAATGCGTATAAAATTGAATTTATTTTTAGAACATTTTCGCGCATAATACATAACTTGAATCCAGTATCTTAACGGAAAAGTACTGGCAATATAAGTTCAACAAGTGTTGATTTATTGGATTACTAAATTGGTTACCATGACAGCATGATATTGTCATAATAATTTAACATTAATTGAATTGTTACATTACTATAATTGTAGTAATAAAAATATTTAATAAAACAAAATGTGTTTTCAAATATGTTTTGTAATGAGAAAATGCGTATAAAAGTTTATTTATTTTTAGAAAATTTTTCTCGCATAGCGCATAACTTGTATCCAGTATCCTAACGGAAAAGTACTGGCAATATAAGTTCAACAAGTGTTATGCAAATATTGGGTTATCAAATTAGTTACCATGACAATGTTTATGCTATAAACAAGTTTTAATTTAATTGTTACATACATAATTGAAGTAGTAAAAACATTTAATAAAACGAAATCTTTTTTAAATACCTTTTGGATGAAGATATAATTTATAAAAATTCATTGATTTTTAGCAATCTTTTCGCGCTTATTCAGTATTCTAACGGAAAAGTACTGGCAATATAAGTTAACAACTGCAAATGATCAATTATTGAATTACCAAATTGGTTTCCATGACAACATGATATTAATAGGTTAATTAGTTTAATTTTTACAAGAAAACATGTTAGAAGAAGAAAATTGTAATTTAATACAACAAAAATATGTAGAAAAGTGTATTTAACGTTAAGAACTTCTCATACAATATGAACATTGTAGGATAATTTACAGGTAATGGCAATATTGTAACTACTATTGTATCTTTATTATTCATTAATAGTTGAAAGACGTAAGTAAATTAAATAAGTTTAGTCTGAAATACATTTTTTTTAGAAAAATGTGAATCTTTTCTAAAAAAACTGAAATGATTCAGTAAATTATTAATGGCAAAAATCAAAACTTATTTTAATTGCACGAGAAAATTTCACAAATTGGTTAGTATTTATAAATAGCAAAATATGAATTTGTATCAAATCGATAAATGTAAAAGATTATTTTGCTTAAGATTAACAATGGTTTCGTATATTTAAAAAAAACCGTTACGATAGAAACATGATGATCCGTGCGATGTATAGCTTCTGATAAGTTACGATTTACCAAACCATCAATTACATTGCTATAGCAGCATGTTATTAACCGTGAATTATTGTTTGGGTAGAAGATTATTAAGATATAAAATCAAACGTATGAATTGTATGCTATTATTAGTTAAGACTTAAAAGTAGAAATAAATAATATTTGAATTAAAAGAAAAGAAGGAACATATTCAAGAATGATACAATTTTTCATTCCCACTATACTTATTACAAGAGTTTTCAAATTTTTGTTTTACGTAATATCTAACATAATAAACTCACAATACTCACTTACAAGTCTATTATATTAGTCTATTATAATAATTCATTGCTACTTAAATCAAAACATTAATATTGAATACGTAATAAAATGTGATATGTGTTGGTCATTAAATTTTGATTAGAATATCATAAACAAACCACAAAACAAAAAACGTGCTTGCCATGCGAAATGGAGCGCTGCTAATTTACATCGTTTCCTATATGGAAACCACCTGGCCCACCTTCGATATCGTCGGTATTGATTATTTAATCAATAACATAATTCTATGATTAGAGCGTTCCGTTTAAAAGCAAACAACACTTTCGTACAATTGAAAAACACGTAAAAGTAATTTCGGGTACTCGTAAGTAGTATTAATGGTTATCTGCACTCGTTTTAATTGAGGATTAGCGATTAGGGGATTTACAAAGTGAAGGACAACGAGTAACGTTTTTTTTTGGCTAATCGTTCAATAACTTCTCTATTTTTTTTATAAATTTCATCTTCTCTCTTTTCGAAGCTCGAATGTGAAGTTCTACCCTCACAATGACTATGATTTATGAATTCAGAGAAAACTTTATCAGATTTTTCTTCTAATTTTCTACCTGTAACCTTTGTTTTGTTACCTACCACTTCTTTGTTCTTTCTTGCTATAGAACGAAGATTTTAAAAGTAAAACTGAAAATAAAATGCTCTCAAAGAAAACTGAAAAGTTTATACATGAATCATTATATTAATCATCATTAATTTATTTAGTTTTCACAGAATAAATAAATTACATTAGAGTGATGTGCGTTAAGGACCACCCAAGCTGGAGGAGTGCTAAGTTCTAAACACAAATATGGTGAACGTTAAAGCATCGCAAGGACGACTAGTCATATATTTTTGTTTGTTTGTCTTCAATCCACTCTAACGCATAAATCACATTATTCTTTCAATTCTTTGATATCGATTATTACCATGGCAATGTTGTGTTGTGTCCGTTTAAATTGAAGAAGGATTTTGCTTTATAAAATATTCATATTGTTGTACTCGTTCGACGTAAAATATAGAAACTTGTAATAGGATTTGGGTCTATTTTCGATTGCGCAATCCTCGGCAGAAGACATGCACACTTGGCGAACCGTGGCCGAAAGTGGATTACGTAACAGTTTCTGTGAAGCCGACGGACGGATGGACGGAACATCGCTTCGGTGGCTTTCAAATTCATGCAACAAACAACACCAAAAAAAATAATGACGAAAGCTACATGAATGTAATTCGTTTTTAAATAGAGCGCACATATCATTATTATTTCCCTCGGTTATTTTGTACCTATGTATGCATATTTCTGGAAATATGAAGAGCGCATAACTTTAGATACAACTATGTAAAGTTATGTAAATGTGGTTGAAGAAACCGGTGTCAATGAGGTTACTCGATGTTCCAGTTAATTTTGACAAGTTTTAATTAGTTTCATTTCCATTACAATGCGTACGTATTTTCATAGAAAATTTGCAAATACTGAGAGAAGAATACAGTACAACATTGCTTGCAAACTAAACAAGGAATTTTTAGATGGTGAAAAGTTATGATGGACATGTAGAAGCAAAAATAAATACACAAATGATCTAATATGAAAATTAATTAGTGTAAATTGAAAACCTATGTATTGTCAATATGGGACATTGGTGTATAAATAAATAAGTATATAAGATGTTAAGTTTTTCATGTATATATGCAGAAAACAGATGAGAATAATTGTATTAGGTGCATAAATAATACAACATTACCTAGCATAGTACGGGATAAACTATAGTACTGTTTGAAAATTTCAAAAGAAATTACATTTGTATTGAGCAAAATTAAAATAAATTCTAAAAAATTAATATACATAAATGATAGCCTAGCCTTTTCCTTTTTAAATCCTCGATTATTTGGGTTTCAAACAGTGCGGCATATTGACGGAACCGATTATTCGCACTGTATGAAGTATGATTGTACTTCATGTTTACAAATCCGTTCTAAAACTATTTAGTAATTAATTTCAATAAGAACTCTAAAATTTAAATATTTTGTTTGTGTTAATAGAAAATGTAATGAAACAATAATACCCAACTTTACTATATTTAGTTTTATTGTAATAAAAAGGTGCTTTTCATTTTTCAATCTACAAGTTATTTATATAAACATTGATTGTTGTATGAAAAATGTTCTATAAGAAACTAATATAATATAAAAGTTAATAGTAATTTTAAATTCTCATATCAATCTGTAGTAAATAGACAAAAAGTAAGATACACTAAAAGATCAATCAATCAATTTTGTTTAAAATCTAGTACAAATTTAACTTGTTCTAATAAAGTATGATTAAGCAAGATGTAACATTCAGTTTATAATTAATTTGTAACTTAACAGTTTTCATGTACTTCTACTAAAGACTACATCATATTTGAGAAATAAGTCAAAATATAAGTAACTATGTCAAATTCGAACGCCTCAATTGAAATCCATTAGGGGCATAAATAGAATAGTATTATTAGTATTCCCAATACATCGTTCCTAAACATATACATCATCTAAAATAGAACCGAAGTATTCATGACATGGACTTCCTTAAAAATCTATTTTGACAACGCATTGCGTAAAATCTAATTGGAGTTAGAAAAATAGTCAAAAATAAAATTTATATATATATATATAAAAAGCAGCAAATACGTAACATCCAGTTAAGTTTTAGCAACTTCATTATACGAAGAACAACAAAAATACGTTGAACCTAAAGAATTCGTTCTAATGTGCTAATGCTGCGCTATTTATTCAAGTTATATGCGATTGCTTCTCAATTCATTGCTCCAACACGAGCACGAGTTGTATAAATCAAGATTTACCACCCAATTTCAGTTAGGATTTGTCGAAGAACTGTAATTAGCGAGATTTATCCGATTTGCATGTGTAAGGATAGGGTGAAAAAAGGTGGCTTGATAATTTGAATTTAATCCGCGACGCGATATTGATCTATGTATTTATTGGGTCAAGGCAGTACGTTTGGTGGTCTACGAAGATGTTGTAATGACCTTAGATATTCTAAGTACTCCCTCTAACACAAGCTAAACAATAGGGTGTAATTATAGTAGAGGAAAAGTTATGCAATTCTCATTAATATTTACAATCTAATGATATATTTCCAATGGATCAATTCAATGAAAACCTTACCATATGTTTCACTCTATACAATCATTATACAATGTGTATACAATATTTCACATCATCCACAGTTTTTCTTATAAGAATTCCTATGAACAAAACAAGTAATCATGTTTAAACTAAATGATAATCTAATTGGAATTGTATATGACAATTTGTCTAATTATTTACTATTGGGTATTATATTTTATAAATAAATCTATTCTAAGATTATACAATTATATAATTATGTTTTTATTTCTTTGTTTCAAAGAAAATGTTTCAAAATTTTGAAAATTTTCTTGGGTTTTCTAATCTCGGAATTTTAATTATTAGATTACATTATCTTAGTTGTCTTCTTGCTTAACTTTGTACATTCTATTTATCTACAAATGTTTTGTTTAAAATGTCTGAAGATAACTGGTACTGTTTAAACTGTAAAATATTCTATATTATAGCAAGAAGTTATAGTTTAGAAATTAACGATTTTTTTTTATCTCAAATCTGTACTTAGATATTATATGCAATTACATTGATGTTGTTATTTTTCGATGTAGTACTTTGTTAAATAGATGATGATAAATTGTTCTTATTGGATAGTGGATTGTGGTTTAAGGAAAGTTGCCTATATTTGAAGTCTGTGCTGACTAATTATTTAGTGTGCAGTGTACTAGTGTTGGCATCTGGCGGTGGTTGTGTTAAATGTAGACTGGGTCTATCCGATTCTCGGTGGAGTTGCTTGCGGTGCTTTCAATCCAACTAAATGAAGTTAAAATCTGGGCACCTGGAAGCCATTTTATAATTTCATGTACTATACTAAACGGCGGATTGTGGGATTCTTGGATACAGTGTGTGCGTCTGAAGGTGGACAAAGTGTGGAGGGTATAGTGTGTGTCGGTCAACAGTGTTCCTTGCGAAGATCCCTGGGTCGATTGCGATTGTGGCGTTCGGTTGCAGAAGCGAAATAAAAAAAAAGTAGGTGCAGAGAGGAGAGAAGAGAAACTACGCAAGAAGACGTCGTCCAGAGCTATGTGTGTGTACAGTTTGTGTTGACATAAGAGGAATTCGAGAAGTCCGAGAGAGCAGCCTCCTTCCTTCCTTCTGAGTCAAGTGCTTGGAGGCCACTAGGGACTATTCTTGAGCACTGGAAGGATTAAAAATAATAAAGATGGGCAATAATGCCGCTACTGCGAACAAGAAGGTCGACTCGGCAGAGAGCGTCAAGGAATTCCTCGACCAGGCCAAGGAGGAGTTTGAGGAAAAGTGGAAGAAAAATCCAACCAACACAGCCGGTCTGGAAGACTTTGACAGAATAAAAACACTGGGTACTGGATCATTCGGCAGGGTGATGATAGTCCAGCACAAACCCACCAAGGAGTACTATGCCATGAAGATCCTGGACAAGCAGAAGGTGGTCAAGCTGAAACAGGTGGAGCACACCCTGAACGAGAAACGCATCCTGCAAGCCATAAGTTTTCCATTCTTAGTGAGCCTGAAGTTCCACTTTAAAGACAATTCCAATCTATATATGGTGCTTGAGTATGTCCCCGGTGGTGAGATGTTCTCACACCTCAGGAAGGTTGGTCGGTTCTCTGAGCCACACTCGCGTTTCTATGCAGCTCAAATTGTGCTTGCTTTCGAATACTTACATTACCTAGATCTGATCTACCGTGATCTGAAACCAGAAAACTTACTCATAGACTCTCAGGGCTACCTAAAAGTCACTGACTTTGGCTTCGCCAAACGCGTTAAGGGGCGCACTTGGACTCTGTGTGGCACCCCCGAGTACCTGGCACCAGAGATTATCCTCAGCAAGGGCTACAATAAAGCCGTAGACTGGTGGGCACTCGGTGTGTTAGTTTATGAAATGGCTGCTGGCTATCCACCATTCTTTGCTGATCAGCCCATACAAATCTATGAGAAAATCGTATCGGGCAAAGTGCGCTTCCCATCCCATTTCGGATCGGACTTAAAGGATCTCCTGCGTAATCTCCTCCAGGTCGACCTCACCAAACGCTACGGCAACTTGAAGGCCGGCGTCAACGACATCAAGGGACACAAGTGGTTCGCGTCCACCGATTGGATTGCAATCTTCCAGAAGAAGATCGAGGCGCCCTTCATACCGCGCTGCAAGGGCCCCGGTGATACCAGCAACTTCGACGACTACGAGGAGGAGCTCCTTCGCATATCATCAACGGAGAAATGTGCCAAGGAGTTTGCCGAGTTTTGAATCATTCTTTTATGTATTTTGTGTAAGTAGTCCAAACAGAAGACTAATCTATTCCAATTGGATAGATGCTTTGCATACCTTTCCAATTTGCTGCAAACAACAACAAAAAACCATATTGCGCCTATTTACAAAGCCAATCATTGACACAGCAAATACTTGACTCGGAGTGAGCATACGCGATTTTATCAACAAACATTACATAACGCATTTATTTATTATATAGAAAATACAAAAGGCGAAATTAAAAAATAGAAATATCATAAGTAATGTTATAATAATGGTATAGATAAGACCAAATGCCATTTCAGATATACAGTTTATTTTGATAATTATTTATTTATCAGCACTTAATAAATTTTTTTCATATAATATAAACATAGAAGTGGAACAAATTTAATATGAAAACAATTCAACATATGTATCAACTTATTGCAATTATGTTATATTCTTGACGTCTTGAATTTGAGCCCTGATTATACTAATAATACAGGAATTGCGAGCAAAAGATATCTGGGACGCCGAACGAGGTCAATATGAAATTATGAATATGGAGGTGATACACTTCTGTGTACTGATTTTCAATAGATATAAAGTGCTGATGTAATTACGAAGGGCTTCAGACGTAGACGGGATTTGATAATTTATCAGAAGATTACGCGTACGGATTACCTATAATTTCCAATGCAAACAGTTTCAAAAGTACGAAAATAAAAAAATGTCTTTTAAGAGAGAGAGAGAGAGAGAATTGCAAGTAACAATAAAGCATTAAAAACCATTTCGAACGTGATTGGCTTTAATGGTGGTTTGTTCGAAATGCGTGACGCACGTAGATTCAATTCAATTACGAACGGAATCCAAATAGTTTGTAGTAATAAAGAGAAGGAGAGAGAGAGAGAGAAAACCGAGCAGTTCAGAAGGCGATTCCATTTTCGTTCATATTTACTACTATTAACTTGTTTGCAGTGCAATTTTGGAATTGGCGTTAATTATTGTTAATTACGAGCGGTCCGCAAAATTGATTGATTAATTGGCACAATTAAAGGCCGCACCATGGTTTGAGATCCAAACCCCGACTTCGGCGATTCTCTTCTACCCTTTCTTTCTTTCACTCTATCTATCTATATATATATAAATTTTTGTTTCTCCTTCGTCAATCGCTTATTGGTGAATTTCTAAAAGTTTTGCGCAACTTCTTCATTCTCCGTTGCATAACGTGCCCGCATCGCCGTTTTCTTTTTAGGCGTTGCACGCTCTCTCTCCGTCTCTGTTGCTCTCGTTTGACCGGAGGCTAGTTCCAAAAACGATCGGTTTTACTCGTCTCAGAATATATATATAAACACATATATAATATATTGGGCAAGCTGTTGTGAAATTAGATGTATTTAAAGTTAAATGTGTTTTCTTTTCGACTATTTGCTAATAATAAATGCAAGGCATCCGATTAATTATGCAAGGATGGAGCGAGTTGTCCGCAAAGAGAAAAGAGGCCTTCTCGTTCGGGCGAAGACTAATTAAAAGCGATTTTCAGCTTGGATTGGTTCTGTGATATAGCGTGTGGCCTGGTTCATCGGGGTGATTTGAACTTTTTTGCGTTTATTTCTTCTTCAAAACCTCATCAATACTTATTAATTCCACTTCATTTCAATTATTTTTATTGACCGTTACGGTTTTTTTTGCTGTTGTTGTTTTTTCATTATTACTAATTAATAGTGTACGCGCTTATACAAACTTACTATCGTAAACTTCAACAACTTACCTCAATGTTTGGAGATTGTTTTGATAAGTTTTATCTGTGTAATTGTGGAAATATACAAAATTATACTAATTAATTTATGATTATTATTATTAACATAACATGATTAAAAAGCTATTATAATTAATTATTTTGAAACGATTAAATTAATTTATACGATCTAAAAAAAACTTATTTTTGAGTTTTTATTGATACATAATTTATTTAAATCAACATCATGATTATTTAAATTATTATTAAATTATTACGATTCATATTGATAAATTAATATTATAAATTCGTCAATTTTCTTATATAATATCTATTTCTGCCAATATACCGGACTCTTTGAAACCAGAGGTCTTGTTTTAAAGACAAGAAAACACTTGAGCTATTACTTTTAGAATTTATTTTGCTCAATTACAATTTAGTTTTGTTGACTATAGTGAATCCGGACTGATTGAAGCCGCACTATGAGAGGTATTGTTATAATTAAGATATATAATCATTATGGTCACTGTTATGTCATGATAACTAGATTATTTTGTTTACTGATTGATCGCAGACACTGCTTTTATCAGATTATTTGATAGATTGCAGTTACTCATCAATTTTTAAATAATAATTGTGGTTTATGAAGAATTAAATTGTTTTTTTATTTCTTAAAGTAAAAATAATTTGATTCACTTAACTTGAAACAATGAATATGTTCATAAAATTAAAAGTGAAACGAATGAAATTGAAGAAAATTCCATTTGGATTAAATTGACTCAAGTTAAAATAAAATAGACTTTTTTTACTAATTCTAATACTAAACGTTTTATTTTATATTATTATATTTTTTTATTTAATCGATAAAACTTATTAAATTGAATATAATTTAAATTTCTACTTAATACAGTAGAAAGTAGACGCAATTAATTAAAATTAACATAAACTGAATGTACCTTCGTTAATAGTAAAAACTAATGAATGCAAGTTACATTTATAAAGAAAACTAAATGAAATGAACATTCTTCAATAAAAACAAATAAAATTAGTTTGTTTATTTAACACAATATACAGAATTACGAACTGGTTCCGTTCCAAAGGGTTGTTCGTAAGTCGCATTTGTTCGTAAGACGGAGGAATTTTAAAAATTTCAAAATATACTTATTTTACCACACTTTATCATGGAAAAATAGAATCAAAATATTTACTTACAAATACTTTTCAATGTAGACATCACAATTATTTAATAAAAAAACGTCAAAAGAAACAAATGCAACCAAACAGTTAGTACATCTTCCAAAAATAATTATATATCTCCTAGTATCAAGGAGTTTTTAGAATTTTGTTCGTAAGTCCGGGAGTTCGTAAGTCGGGGAATACCTGTAGTTAAAAGTTTCTATATTGATTCTTTCTAATTAAATGAAGATAATTAATAATATTAATGAATTAATTAATGTATTTCAATTCATTATTTGTAAAGGTTTTAATCGAAATTTGATGTTTCTCACTTATTACATTCTCAGAAAAGTAGAATTTCGTTTATGGTAATTTGTAAAGTTTAAGTATCAAATTATTATAAAAAAAGATAATTTGTTAATAAGTGAAACAAAATTGAATATATTTGAAATATGTTTTCAACGAGTTTGCCAATGGAAAATAATTGAAAGCGATTGGAAAAAAAAACGATCAAAAATATATAAATATCTGAAGCCAACTCCGTATAAGTATTTGCTGTTTATATGTATCGATGTTACTCAACTGTAATCTCTTTCCTTTGCAGATTTGCCATTTCCTTACCGGATTATTACAAGTCAGCGGTGGATCGTTGGGGGGATCCACGTTTATTTTATTTATTTGTCTTTATAAAAAAAAACATAAGAAATACCCTTTGCGTAATTAAATGCAATAGAGATACACGCCTACACCACAACCAAACAAAAGAAAATACACACACACACACAGAGACATAAACACGAAAACAAAAATTCAAAGAATTTAAGAAAAATAACAATTCAGAGAACGATTCAAAAAAAAAATTGTTACAATTTTTTTGTTTTTAAATTTTATTTCTTTCTTAGATTACGTAAAATCATTCCTTTTTGTCTGACCCAAATAGTTAATCTCACTCACTCACTCTCTCCACTTAGACGACACTTGTATAATTTATTCACTAGTAACCGATTTCGCTTACGCAATTGCTTGCGATGTCAACAACAACAAGAAAACATCAACTGAAGAAAAAAAAATACAAAAGCAAAGAAGTAAAACATAAATCTTTCCATCGATCGGTTTTCTCTAAACCGAAGGTGAAGTTAAATCTCGAATTGAATAAGTACAAAGTTTACGCGCGCATCAATACGTTGAGTATTAAACAAATGTACGTAAAAATGAACATCGTTGAAGCTTTGGGATAATTGTGTGTGTGTCTTCGCGCCAATCAAGTGCTGCTAATACTTTGTACAATGTTTGTTAGAACGAGCAAAAACAAGAAAAAAAAACACAGCTTCTATGTTTAAGTTTAATATTATCATATTGTATATTCAAAAATATATATATATATACATATATTATTTTTTAATTAATGTAAGATGTGAAGCCCAGCTTAAATTCCTTTAGGTTCACTTTTATTACCAATGCCATATCAATGAAGGCAATTTATCCAAAGTTTCACATCACACACGCACGCTTTATACACAACAAACAACAAAATAAATAACAATTTTTTTTTAAATTGTGTGTATGTATATATAAGTATTTATATACCGTATATATATATATAATTTTTATATAATTTAGTCATTTGTTATTTGTTTGTTTTAATTATTTTTTTTTTAATTAATTAATAATTATTTTATCCTTGTGTGTTTGAAAAACAGAGCTTTCTTTCAATGATATCTAATCGAATTGGATTCATTGGAAGAGTATAATAGTAATGATGATAGTAATAAAATAGCGAGAAGATATGATATATTTTTATCTTGAGGGAAAAAGAAAAAACACATTGATATCAATTTGGTGCTTAATCGTAAATTAACAAATAAAAAATGATTGAATTAATAGTAATAATGACGTTGAGAGGAGGGAAAAGGATAATACAATATACAGCTTTAAACTAACTATATTATGATAAATTCAAAATTCTATTTTCAAGAGACGCAAATTCGAGGAAAGTTGTTAAATATATATATATATCTTATTTTGTTTTTATTTCGTGATTATTTTATGTTCTTCGTTTTGACCTCTTCTGCAGAGATTCGTTTATTTCGTTTTCTCTCCTTTCTTTAAAATCGATGTGATCTTTCGGGGTGGTGCAATTCGTCAGTTTTCGGACCCCCAAAAACTTGATGATTACGATGTATTCCGATTGTAGGAAAGAAGGAAGTAGTTGTAAATATTTTATTATTTATTATGATCAATGGCTTCGTCTTGATGTGCGTTTTTATGTGTGTGGGAAAGAGGAATTTAGCGACTGTAAATCTGTTTTTTTAGTGTAACTGAAGAGGCGCGCGCTTTCAGAGTTAATGAAGTAATTAATGACTAACATATGTTTAGGGGTATGTTTCATACACACGAACACTCGCAGACAGACAGACACATCTCATCTAAATCACTATTAAGATTGCTCTTTATTGTTATATAAATATATATAAAAAAAAATGAAAAGCTCCGCGGAGCAAAGGTATTTGTGCTTTTCCAAGTCCTGTTTGTGTCCAAAAAAATAAATATAATTATATATATATAAATAAAGAATTAAAAATGATAAAAAAAAGTATGTGAAAAATTTTGACAAAAAAAAATGGTAACAATACAAATATTGAAGCTAAATAAGTTTTTAGGGATCTTAGCCTTTATAGGAATTGGTAAAACCACTGTGTATATTTATTATTAGTTCTTAGGGTTTCACAACTAGTCATGAACTTCGTATGACTCCAAACAAAAAAAATAATAAGGAAAAAAGCAAAAAAAAAACGTAAATAATAATAATAATGAGAGTATCTAGGATAAAAACAAAACAAAAAATAAACAAACAAACACGGGTTTAATGACACCAAGTATTCTAACGTAATTCGCTTCTTCTGTCTTCTTTCGTTTGTTAAATAAGTGACTTGACACTATGGGAGTTGTGCGAACGTCATGTGCAAGAAAACTAAAGTAGGAAATGTATCTTTGTCAGATCGGTTCCATTGTTTTTCCCTTCATTCATGTACAACACACAAAACACCAAAATATACACCTTATTTATCCTTAATACGATTGTTTTTTATATATATAAATTATTTATAGAGACAAACGTAATTTTCGTTCCAATAAATGTTTTTGGCGCATAGGAATAATCACCGATTTATGTATTTCTTTATTATTATTATCGTTTCCTCCTTCCGATTTGTTGTGTCGTTTATATAAATAATTATATGATATATGTTTCATTGGATACAGTTTTTTTTTTCTCATATTATTCTCTTATTATTATTTTTTTTGTCCTCTACTAATGCTATTGTACGGAATAACATATTGTCGTTTAGTGCGCTGTTCTTTGAAGAACCCTGTTGTTTTTTGAACAATTCTGAAATAATAAAAGGAAGACTATCCCAGTAAGCCCTGACATGTGTGTTTATTTCGTCGGAAGTTTCCAGTTCGGGTTCAAGGTAAGTGCACGTATTTCAGTTTCCTTCTTGTTCGCTCAACGCTTATGTTATGCATGCAACTAGTATAATTTTCACGACCTCGTCGTTTTAATGCTCAATGAATTCGTCCGTTGTATTTTTAACTTTTCGCGTACTTTTTATTGATGATTACGTTAATTATGTTCGGAGCGCTAATTGATTTTGAATATGCTCGAGATGATAAATAAATTGGTCAATTATACGGCTCAGTTTCCATTGTGCGATTATTCCTTGCTTTCGTGGTGCGACGAAAATAGTCGTCGTGTCCGTTTATTTAAAACGTCTTCACTTAAGCAATTGTCGCATCATATATATCCACTTGTCTGTGTCCGTCAGCTACCATAAATTTGTATTCAAGCTCTAAAAAGTTATACAAATTGAAAAATTTCATTTATAGATCTACATCAGTTTGTTATAAATTTGCCAAACGACATATGTCAATCATACTGTCTCATTTATGACCATTCTATGCATTTATTATTTGTTAAATGGACATCAATTATAAATTGACAAGAAAAAATATTAAAAATGTTGAAGTTGACATATGTCAATTTTAAATTCAATGTGATATTATATAATTATGACAAATTTCAAAGTCAATATTTACTTTATTTGAACTTGACATATTTCAAACATTTATCTATCGAATTAAGTTTTCTGGTGACATTAATGTGAAGTAATCTAGTTTATAAAAGGTATTTTTCATAAGTATTTCTTTCTATCTTTCAAATTTGGTTTTATGAATAATTCTAAATTAATTAAATTTGTGAATTGTCTTTAAAAATATTCTATTTTTTTTTAATTGAATGTATAAAATTGTGTTCTTTCAAATTTTGTTTACATAATGCTTTTATTAAGCACATTCAATATTCATTTTGCAACTTATAATTGAAGTTAACAGATGTCAAATTGAGTCTTGTGATTATCAGACAGTTATTTTAATTCATTATATATTTAACTATGTTAAGTCTTTAAAAAAATTATTAAAGGACAAATAAAAAAAACTTTCATTAAAAAACTTTTTAAATTTACATTTTACTTTGTAACATCACAAATTATATCGAATTTGTTATTGGAAAAGTACTTACATAAAATAACTACTATCAATTATTATAATTAAAATCGATGAATTGCATTTGATTTCATATTTGCTCATGTACTTGAAAAATATTTATTTTTAGAATTGTTCCAATGATATGGCAGTATCTTATTGAAATACCATAATTTTACTATAAATAGATTGTTAGTTTATGGATGTGATTTAGTTATACGTATGTATTTTATTCACAAATTGTTGTTTTCGGTTCATTAATAATTCAAAGATGATTTTCCGAATTACTCGAATTGTTCGTTAACCAATTGCACATCAATACTTCGCTTAGCCCGGGTTATCAATTTCGCCAGTATCCTGGACTGTTTTAAACCGGACTAATCGAGGAACAAAGTACATACAAAAAGAGATTTGACCATATACATAATTCTGCATTTATTCACATTGATTATTTTACAAAAAAAATCTTTCACGAACATGTTTGTTGGTGTGTTCGCAATTCGAACTGTTTGTTAACTATACGAAGTAATGGTTCTTCGCATAGCCCGGGTAATCCGTTCCGCCAATTTTCTACTTTGAGACCGGACTAAACGAAGAACATTATACAGCAATATTTGGCATATCCAAAATCATAGACTGTTTGAAACCGTACTAAACGAGGAACATTCTACAATAATATTTCGCATAGTTCGGGTAATCCGTTCCTCCAATATTCTAGACTGTTTGAAACCGGACTAAACGAGTAACAAAGCATACACACAAAGAGCTTTGACTGTATAAAGAATTAACTTTTATTTTATCAACAATTTGATAATAATTTATGTTCAGATTTGATTAACATTAAATTTTTAATTTATAAAGTTTTTTTATTCTGCGATTTGGGATGTGAAAATGTGTTGATTATACGAAGTATCCAACAAATTATGTTGTTTATAAATATCGTGGAATAATTGCTAATTTACTTAATACGTGTAATCAAGACGGTTGGTCTTTCGAAAACTCTGGGAAACATGTCACTTAAACTGTATAATTTGCATGGATAATGTACGTGTATAGTATACATACAAAAACAAAAACAAAGTTGAATGCTTCCTAGAACTATTATGCTATTCGATTGTGTTGCGTAGTGTGGCATTCGTATAAGGATTGTTGTTGAAAAAACGCAGAAAGTGTACCATATAGACATGCCGTTTATTGCGTCAAATTTACTAAATCAACTATGTTTAGACTCGTAGCCTTAAATAGAAATGTCATTGTCGCACGCAACAGTTTTATATATACTTTTTTTATGCAATGAGTATTGTCTAAGTACTGGACAAATAATTTATATTGAAATAACAGGTATGTATATTGATATAATCATAGCTTTAATGATCATTAAGATTAATAAGTTAGTAATTAGTAAAAGATTTATGAACAAGTACACATTTTTTTTTAATAAATTATAAATATGTTCAATAATAAAGTTATTAATAATAATAATGCATCTTCGATTAGTCCGGATTCACTATAATCCGGTTTGAACATTTCAAAATAGACTAAATTATAAAATTGAGCGAAATAAAGTTTAAAAAATTTGTACACAAAATATTTCTTTTAAATTCGTTTATACAGTCCTCAATTAGTCCGGTTTCAAATAGTCCTGGATATTGGCTGATTACCCGGACTATGTGAGGTATTGTTGTAGTACATATATTTGAGTATTGAAGGAATGCAGGAATGTTAGCCAATATTGTGTTACATTATTCTGCTTGCGTTTTAATTGCTCAATTACATTGAAAGCGAAAATGTCTTTACATAATTCGCTTGATTACCGGAGAGTCTTCAATGCATATTCACCTTGAATATAGAAATTGTCAGTATCTACAAGGAAACACGGTTAAGTAACATTGAATTTTAATTTAGAAAGTACTTATTATTAATTGCAACTATGATTATATACAATCTACAGCAAAAAGGTCATCCAATTAATTAGAAGAAATAGAAGAAATAATTTAATTATTGGATAGATCCTGTCAACAGATTGTTTTCCTATAGTAGCTTTTTTAATAAATCTAAGTATTAAATATAATTTAATTGGTGACCCGACAAAAACACGCTGTAACAAAAGGGCACAGGACAAATGCGCGCTGTAACAAAAACGCTCAGTAAACAACAACGTGAAATTTACGCACGATATTCACTCTAGTGCAGTGTTTCCCAACGTGGGGCCCACACCCCACAAGGGGCCGTTTGTTTGTTAAGGTAGGCAATTAGAAAATGGACACATGTATAGCATATTAAGTATATGTTACATAGGGAACATAAGAATTTTAGAAAAGCTTTGGTGGGTATGGTACAAAAAAGGTTGGTAACCATTGCTGTAGTGCCTTAGGTTTGGTTTTGGATGTATTTTAAAATACATATCAATTCTCGTGCATTTGACGTGGTTGTTTAATGCGCGCTTTTATTATTGCGCTCTTTTGTAACTGTGCGTTTTTGTCGGCGCGCTTATTACGGCGTCAAATTAAATTAAATTAAAACTTGTCTAAGATGTTTTCATAAAATATAATTACCATATTTTTTTTAATAAATGGTAAAATAGTAGCAAAATGTTAGTTGTTGATTTTTCCTTAAATAAATTAAACATATCCTTAACCAATGCAAAGTCTTTAATTAAACAAGTATTCTAAAACAAAGTACTAAGATTAAGATAAATATAAATAAAGCAATCATGCAAAAGTTTTATATCTTTTTAATTAAAAAAAAAGTTTTTATTTGTTCATGAATTGTTGTTACAATTAGAGACAAATTGTCATTGATACAACATTATTTTTCATATCCAATTAATTCTGCTTTACGAGAATGAACTATATAATCAATTTTTAGTAATAAATTTGGATAATTTTGAAACATAATTCACACAATAATTAAATTAAAGATAAATGAAGTATTCATACAAAAGTTTTATAAAACCATATAAAAAATGGTTATTATTTCTTTATAAATAAATGTTTCAATAAAATATAAAATCTTATAACTAGTTTTTTTTTATATTTTACTTTACGAGAGAGAACAAAGTTTATTTCTAATTTGAAACAAAACAAAAAAATAGTTAAAACGTTTTTTTTAATTTGTTTATGAATCAATGTTTCAATAAAAGTTAAATTCTCATTGAAATAAGAGTTTCAATTAATTAAGAGCGAAAATAAACTTTATTTGTAGCTATAATTTACAAAAGGTCAGTGACCGAATTCTGTGATCATATAATATTCGATTATGTCCTTTGTGAATGATTTGCTTTATTAAATGACATTTGCATGGATTCAGTTGGCATCTGAAGGTCGTTTTGTTTTATTTCGAGGATTCCAATTTGAAAAATATATAATTTCTTAATTTTTCAGGACGTTTCCCCCTTGTTATATCTTAAGGCTTCCAAATTACTTAAAAAAGAATGATTGCAAAGTTCGTTTATTATACTGTTAGAAGAATTTGTGTTGTGTTGAAATACCACAAATAAAGCAACAATTGTTGTTTATTTTTAACTTACTTTTTATAATTTTAAATATTCATGCATTATTTATATAATTACTAAAATTGTTGATATGTAATGAGTATTATAGTAATAAAAAGTATTTTTCTAAATATATCGGGTTTAAACATATTTTCATTTACAAATGATTAAGATGTTTCAATATAGAAAAAAAACATCAAATTTAATTAAAATATTTGTTGATTTTTTTAGTAAAATTGTAACTAATTTATTGCGTCACTGTAATAATTATTAACAAATGTATAATTGCTTGTATAATTTGTTCACAATATTGTATTTTATAAATGTTTAAGTTATGAAAAATAAAATTGATTTTCGTCGTATAAGTCGAATATTTTCTCTGATGTTTAGCAGCGTATATTTTCTACGGGTGGATTAGACTAGGCTATTAGTAGGATAAGATATATCTTGACATTTGTAATCTCATCATGTTCAAGTGTTCTCGAATCAATGAAACATCTCTTACACTCAACGGATGTTTATTTTACACTTGTATTTACAAATATAATTCAGTTATTTTGTTTTTCCTAAAAAAATATAATATAATATCAAGTTGTTGAATGTCACTAATGCAATGAAATATGTCAATGGAGGGAGAAGTCGAGAAGAATGTCCATTACATCGACGTCTATTTGGGGAACGTGACCGGTCTTCGTCCTGTCTTCTCCAGTTCCGATGTCGTCCTGAAGGTGGAGTTCCTTTCGGAATGTCTTTTGGAAACGGAGAAGCTTCATCTGGATGAAATCATTGAGATCAATACCAACGTCAGCCTGTGTGTGGACTTCGATGATCGCTCCAGCTTCGATCGGTACATCACCAATCCGTTGGTGCTCACTGTCACGGAAATCGAATCTGAGGTGACAGCAAACGAAGATATTCCACCGTCGGGGAAGGCGTATTGGATGTCCGAAGAGAGTGTTCTGGACCTACAGGAGGCGTTGGAAGGACTAAAACAAACGGCTAGTAAAAAGGCTATCTCTAAAACTACACCGAAATCGTCATCGTCCAAGAAGAGCCGGGACAAAATGTCGAGGGAGAAAACTTCTAGCAGAGGAAGCAGATCTTCGAAGACTAGAAAATCTAAGGAGAAGTCGGAGGTCAAGGTTAAATTGGAGCTGCCCAAGAGCGATAAACCCAAGGGACCGCAGGTGGCAGGAATCGGAATAATCGATTTGCTTCCACTGTTTTTAGGCGAGGAATTGATAGAGGAGAGCGTTTTGCTTAAAGGCGATAAAAAGTTGATGCTCGATGATCGTTTGAGATCCGTGATGAATCTACCTAAAATCGAAGTGGAAATTACGATAGACGCGCCGATTCCAAGCGGAGAAATTTGCAGTTTGACGATTGAATCTATCTACAATTTGCCATCGGTGATGGCGCAGGAAATGAAGTATCAATTGTGCGTTGATATACCGGCAAGTAGCAAGCAGTTAATCAACTTTAAAAATTTCAAGTACATGCAGGAGGCTCGAAAACAAATTCAGAACAAGCTGTGGTTCGACTCCGATATAGAGACTAATTACTGTTTGAATCTGAACATGGAAAAGGTGAAGAACAGTTTGGATAGGCCACTCGATGAAGCTATAGCTACCGACTTTCCTAGATTGGAATATAATCAGATGAAACGAACTTTTGCTACACAAGACGATTTAGACGCTTTTAAACGGAGAATCTCTAAGTATCATTGCATTGGGATTGAAATCTACATGCAGAAGGCTGAAGCTCAGCCGGGAGTTTCAGTAGCTTCGGTGAAGAGCAAGAAGAGTGCCAAAGAAAAGGGTAGTAGTAAAGGGAAAAGTTCTAAAAGTGCTGCGGAGCCTGCACCACAGAAATCCGAAGATTATCTACACTTGATGGCCTATGTGGATTTATGCAGGTTGCTGTATCCGGGTGAGAAATCGGTCAGAATTGCGTGTCCGGTGAGGACTTATCAAGGAGATGAGATCGAGAAGAAAACCGGATTGAACGATTCGTTCTTCAGGCCAAAACCGCCGCCGCCGCCTCCAGTTGTTCCCAAAGCGGATAAAAAAGGAAAAAAAGGGAAGGAAGGTAAAAAGGAGAGCAAGAAAGGTAGTAAAAGCAGTAAGGGTAAAGATAAGTCTAGTAAATCTAGCAAGGGTAAGAAAGGTAAGGGTAATACGGGCGATCTTAAGGTGAAATTGGTACCGCCGCCACCACCTCCAGAGCCTAGTCAATTGGTTTACAGTGATGAAGGGAACCCGACCTTCCTCATAGTTGAATTATCTTTTAACAAAGCTTTGATTCCGCCTAAGGAATTGGAAGATTTGACCGATCAATTGCACGATATAATCGAGAGTGCGCGTCCGAACCTGATATTGACGAAGGATATCAGATCGCCAAAGGTTACTGATGAGTTGTTCAGAAATACGCTGAAGGAATGCGCCAAAGATTTGAAGATACAATTTCAGAATTATCGCACTGAGAGTATATTAGGAGACAACGAGAAGGTTTTTATCAACTATTTGCAAAGGAAAGGTGCTTATCAAACGTACATGGCCTCTCTGATACGCGCTGCAACTTGCTACGTTGGTTCCTCGTATGAATACGATTCGAATTGTTCCACCAACGAATTCCACACTTTTATATCAAACGTTTACGTGGATTTGGTGGAGAAGATTAATAAGGTGGTCACGGAGCTATATCGTGTTGGCGCTGGCGTTGATGATAACGTTCCTAGTAGATCGGAAGAACTGTTGGTGTACGCTCATGAAGCAATAGACTTGAATGCAGTTGGTTTAGCGAATCGTTACTTGCTGGAGCGGATCTGCAAGGAAGAGACTAATCCGGACTTCTGGTTCGATTATGGAGTATATCATATGCACATCAGGGAAGTTGAGAAGGCCATGGAATGCGCTTTGGAAGCTTTGAGGATTAACGTTACTCATGGGAATGGTCTGATTTTGTACGCGTTACTCCTGACCAGGAAGAACAAGAACCACGAGGCTGAAACATGTCTTTTAAACCTGACCTTAAACTATCCTGCTTGGGTTGAGGGTTGGGGAGCACTCTACTGCGTGTATTATAAAAGGAACAACGTGGAGGGAATGGAAGTAGCTCTTGAGATGGCTTCTAGGGCTTTGGACCGTCAAGAATTGGAACCGACGAAGGATTACGTTTGGACCAATAGGCATATACCTAATACTGTTGCCTATAGGACTTGCTGCTTCTTCATTTCGATGAGGCTCTTCGACGAAGCTGAAATCATGCTATGTTTGGAGATTGCCAAAACGTACTCGCATATTAACGAGTATTTGCTTGCAGTGATCAGCTATTATAAAGAGGATTACGATCACGCTATAACTCATATTGATAACGCTGTCGCTACAGGGGGTTGCGATTACATTACCTGCACTTTCAGAGGGCATGTGAATGTGGCTATGGGGATGATGCAGTGCGCTTTGGAGGAGTACAATAAGATCTTCGATTTCTTCTCGCAGCCGGATGAGAACTTCCTTTACTTTGTTTACATAAAGAGCGGTTTGTGCTACAGCGCTTTGGGTGATGAGCAGAAGGCTCGCATCAACATACTTCAGGCCTGCAAGGTTAATGGATCGGCTTACGCTTGGTTATGCGTCGGTGTTTTGTTCTATTATCAGCACGATTTCTTACGGGCTGAAGAGAGTTTGGGTCAAGCAAACGCGCTTGACAACAGGATGCCCGAAACTTGGGCTTACCTCACGCTGACCAACGTAAAAATGGGGAAACAGCACGATGCGAACATGTGCTACCATCAGGTCATCATGAATAACCTGCAGAACGAGGAGTTGTTGGGGACCATCAAGGAGGCTCTGGACGAGTTGAACGTCAAGTTCGAGGAGCAATGAAAGACGATCGATTGCATGCCGATTACTTCTAATTCTCAATTTTTATTTAAACTAAACCTGCTGCTGTACAATAAATACATTATATTCAGTAAATTCTATCTCTAACTTGGAGTTCACTACGTGTCTTAGCAGCCGTTGAGTATTTAGTACCGAAGCGAAAAAACAAATAACATAAGTCTTAATTCTCGTAACTTAGGGTTTTGGGGATCGAGAGAACTAAAGGAACTTAGGTGAAAGCGGGTTTCCGATACATGCCTACTACACTACTCTTTAAACTACTTCGGATACTTCTGGTTTAGGAACTATACGATGCTCAGGATAGTTTTGGGAATGTGAAGTATTATTATAATTTTTAAGGAGGAATAAATATAATTGTGCTGCGATGTTTATTTCCTAGTTTGTTGTGTGTGTGTGTGTTTGTGTCTATGTTGTGTTTATGTACGTTCTTGTTGCTGCTTAAGCGTCTTCGTCACTTCGGCGCCTTCTGCCTGGGCCTCCGGCGAAGTTGGCTGCGGCAAGACCCATCAGATGTTTGGCAGCCTGGGATCCGGAAAAACCGCGGCCCAGACCCAAATCCAATCCACGTTTGGAGCTGAAAATTACACACATAATTAGATAGTACAAAAACAAGATTGAATGTTGCAAATACTCGTTATTTATAATACTAAAATATAGTTAATTTTGTAACATTCAGCGCATCTATAATGTGACTTTCATATTAATAATTAATGTCTGCCAACCTAATAATTAAAACAATAGATTAATTAGTTGGTATTTTTGACAGGAGTCACTTGTCACAGATATGTGATACTTTGTAAATCATTTACTGATTTCATTCATTGTATGTTGATTGTAAAAGTTTAGTTAAAAGCAGTTCAATATGGTATACATTTTGAGTTGATGTTTTTATCCCAAAGTAAGCGTAAATAACTTATTTTCCGGAGAATTCATAAAACCAGATGTGTTTCAAGTAACTTTTATAAGTACCTATACATATTATGAAAAGCGTAAGTAATTATCATTCGAAAAATATATTCATATAGTTTTGTCATCAATCAAACTTGTACTTATACATGTTTACTCAATTTATATAAGTACTTGGCAAGTACTACGTAGTTCTAAGGAGTGATAGTAAATTGCTAGCTTTATAGTATTTGTTAATAATGAGTATATAGATTTATTATGGTAATTATCTAAAATTCTTTGCAATAACTGTAAAATCATTGATAAAAGTTTAGTGATTTGTGAATAAAAAAATCAATTTTATTAAAATTTAATTATATATTATTACAAAGTATCAGCAAATTTCAGTTATTCCATTAGCTAAATGTCCATGCATAATGATTGGTTAATAGTGTCGCAAACAGAAAATTGTGCCGCATCGATTCCTTTCAATTATAAAAGCAAATTGGTTATGCAAATAATTTTATTTATTCTCCAATTCCGGTGGCCAAATTGAATTATCTCGCGGTTCTATTTGGTGCATTTGCTCGGTTGAAGTTGAAACTCGTTATGGAATTATTTCCATTTTGAAAATTACATTTATAAAAACAACGGAAGAGAAATAATTACGAAATTACTAGAATTTGTACAGAAATTTATTATAAGTTTAAGATTTTTTAGTATTAAATCGGATTTTGTTATTTTACTAAATTATTCAAATAACTTTAATTTCATCATCAGTAATTGTTCAATAATTAATTATATCTTATGTACATTTTTAATAAGTTATTTGATTATTGTTTCTTTAACTTTGATTTCATATTTAGAAGATGGATAAAGACAATTATTAAGAAATTCTTAATAAAAATAAACATAAAATATTGTAAATTTACTGAACTGTTTGTAAAGATCAAGTTGAGTTTTAAGAACACAAAAAGGAAAAAACGAAACAAAATAAAAATAGCAGGTTTTCTTTTGAATGGTTTAATTACATTATATCATGCGTTCATAGAAGAGAAAAGAAAGAAAACGAAATGTATTTATTATACATGTCCGAAGTACAACTGCTTTTTGGCCGTGAATAGAGATAGATCTAGAGCAGGGGTTTTCCGGTTTGCATCAGACCTCATTGGTCCGGCTTGTTGAGCAGATTTAAGAGCCGAATCATCTCGGAAACTTTCTTGCCTGAGTGTCCTCGAGAGACCCCGAAGTCTAAAGACCTCTTGTACATGCTGTGGAAGATGCAGCGGATCGGATTAGTACAATGCATTTGTTTTGCTAAATCGAACGCTCTCACAGGACAACAAACACTTACGGACGATATGATGTACACAACATGTATATTTCAGAATGTAGATATATTATTTAGAAAACGGAAAGCCCTTTTTTCTGGTGCGTTCGTGCGTGAATCTAGATAGAATTGTGCTTTAATAGAAAATAAGAGACATATATTTTCGTGGAGTATGTGCGGATGTGCAGTAAACTTTTTTTTGAATCGATCAATCCGGTAACTTTTATTTGACTTACTTCTCGAGATCTTCCTCGGCAATAATGGCCTGCCTTATCCTGGCGAGGGTCTGCAGCAGGTATTCAGGATTCTGTCCATCCTGGTTCGATCCGTAGTACCCCATACTGGAAATACAAAAGAACACATAAAGTTGATAATGTTCTTAAGAAAATCTTTTATATAAATAAATTTTACATGAGAAAATAAGAACAATTTTTACACTTTTGAAAATTATTAAAAATTTTAATATCAGCAAATATAATTTTTATATGAATATTTTAAGTTTTCAAATGTACTAATGTTGAGTTACAAGAGATAGAGCTGTTTGTTAGCTTTGTGATAGTCTCTTCAACTTTATCAAAAAATATTTTCTTATTTGTTATGTTGTTTCTTGTGCCATATCGAAAGCTTCAACAGAACAGAAATAACTCGCATAGTCCGGGTAATCGTTTGCGCCAACTGTTTGAAATCGAAGACTTTGAAACCACAAAAATATAATATAAACCTCACAAAAGTATTTGATTTGAAATTTTCAAGTTGAAATATATTGGATTGTCGAACTGATTGAAGGCGGACTATGTGACGTATTGCTGTATCTGCTTATTAGAAACAAATATAGTAGTCTGTTCATATAATTTAATCTTAAAATGACAATTGTTATATTATCTAATGGTTTAAAGTTCAGAAATGTTTTGATTTTTGACATTTAAAAAAAAACTTGGAAATTCTAGTAGATTAACTCTGGGAAAAATGTAGATTATTTCGTGATAACAAATTGCATTAGGATTATAGTAATGATCGTAATTAAAGTTTAATTATAGTGATAATTATATTTAATTTTCTCAGTAATCATAAAATATTTTTTGATTTTATTTTTAATTCTAATTTTTATTTTGCTTTAATTTTCAGTATCTTTTGTAGACACGTCACTTTTCAACGATAAATATGATTGCTTTTGTTAAGTGTTTTATTCCGCTTTTGAACCATTCTTGAGTTGATTTTATTGTTTATATTGTGATGTAATATTTTTTTTATTTGTATAGTGACACAATCCAAATGTAGAAATTCATGGATTCAAAGAAAGATGTTTTTAGTAGTCTTTTAATATCTAAATTTCATAAAATGATAATTGTTATCTAACGTTTTATAAAATCAAAATATTATTGAAATTTTTTCTATATTTTTATGTCATCTTTATGTTATTTATTTTTATAAAAACATTGAAAAACGTAAACTCAGATTTATTTTCATTCTGATAATTAATTGAAAAAAAAAACAGTTTGTATATTGAATATTGAACCTTCGATGAGAGAGAGAACAAAAACTAATAGATTTTGAAAAATCCGATTGTTTCACGATAACAAATTACACCAGGATCAAAGTCATCGCAATCCGAGACTTCATAAATCTCAGATCGTAATTGAAGTTCGTGTAAAGTTCGAAGCGACCGCAGCGAACGTGGATTAATTACTCATCGAGCGGAAAATATTCCAGCAGAAACGATGCAACAAAAAAAGAAGCATCGCATGCGTTACATAACATTACATTATGATTTCTGCCATTCATACTGAAGGCATCCTTATAGAAAGTTTGTAAAAAGATGTTTGCAAAGATAAAAATGAATATGCTTTGTGAGGAATTGCTGGGAGGAAGATGCAGTTGTTGGAAGTCTCCATTATGTCGGCATCTCGTGTTTGTTTAGCGTTGATACGCCGGTGGAAAAGTTATGGAAACTATTCGACGGCGCGTGCATCATATTACAAAACGGTTTTCCAGTCATCGTATAACAATGGTCTACGTAATTCCGATTGCGGACTGCTGTTTTGACGGAGGGCTGCTCTCCACGTAGACCCATCATTGGACACGCGTATCAACTCGAATTGCCATTAATTAAGCAAATTGCTCTCTCCATCCATCTCTTCTCCACGATCAATGCCAATTGGAAAATATGCAATTATCGCTGCGGGATGACGACGACTATGATGATTATAGGAGGAAGATACAGCAATCACTTCAATGGTGATGTACATTTTCATTCATCGCAATAAACAATTTCGACAAGTCGCGTATAACGAGCCGATTAATTGGATCACTTCGGGTGTCTGTTAACCGTCGGCTGGCTGGGATATGGTTTGATGCGATTAGCCTTAGGAGAATTGAAACGTAATGCAATTCGTGCGGTCGTCCGTGAGAGATCGTGCGTTATGAAAGCCTATTAATCATCATTAGTATGTGCATAGCGATAATTACATTATATTTATTGATTTGCGACTCAAACATCAATTCCAAAAACGATTCACGACACATTTGATTTAGCTTTAATTGACCTTTAACCGTATGCACTTGTTTGGAGGTTGTCCAATCAATTAACCATTATGTTCTTCAATATTTGTACACATTAAGCCTGGTATTAAAACTTGTTGCTCTAGCAATTCATCTCTATTTTACTAGCTATATCCAATCGATATAATTTATTTCTTTTCTTTTAATTGTCTTAATTATAATTTATATAAAAAATGCAACAAATTAAAAAAATGTTGAACTATAATTGAGGTTTGTTTTTAATAAAATGTTATTTTTTTTCTCTAAAAATTGTGGAAATATAATATAAAAAATACTACAGTCTGATAATATTTATATAAATATGTAATACATTTTGATAATGATATTAAATAACTTTGTAACTTATAGTTAACGCGTTTTGTTCGTAATATTTGTATTTAAATGTCAATTTCAAGAAGACATATTTTGATGATATATTATGTAATATATTTTCATTGGTAAAATGATGTTTTCTTTTCGTCATTTGAAAGATGTCATTTTTAGCTTCCTTTAGAAGCCAATTGAGCGTAATTATGTTTGCAGCTGTTAGTTTTGGGTCAATTTTAGCTTAATCGTCAGTTGAATTGCATCAAAAAATATGATGCTATTAATTTGGAATTTTGGAATTACAAAGGTGTTGTGTATTTTGAGCTACATCCAAGGAATCAAACGATCAATTGAGATGTTTCCTGTCAACAACTGAATAGTATAACTTTCTCTAAATATGATGACCTGAAATCACACTTGCTTCAGTTTATTGCTGATTGAAAGGTCAAAATAGAAAATATATGATTGATTAAAGTAAATTTTTTGTATACAAAATAAGAGTTTTGTTTCACACTAAAAAAAAAATTGCCGACCCTATAAATAAATTCAAAACGTCAACTGTTTTAGGAATTAAGACTCTTTTATATAGAATAATATTGAAATTATGTATTCAGATGAGAATCCAGTAATTTCTTTATAGTATTATAATTTAATTGAAGAAATATCAATCATTGCTTTAACATGATTATCTGTATAAAGAAATAAAGACAAATTTTGTAAAAAAAAATATTTCTTATACATAAAATTTTAATGTTTTTCTTTTTAAATTCTTATATAATAAATCACTTTAATTGGTTCAATAAATACTAATGAATCCTATATATGGAAAGCAGAAAATGGACGTCTTCATCTTTATTTAATATTTTTTTTTATTTTATTGCTGTTTGTGCAAAATAATCCAAGGACAAAATTGCATTACTTTATATGGTTTTCCAACCATTTATATTTAGTTCTTTGCACAAACATAACACCTAAAAAAGAAAAAATGTAATGCAACTGGATTTAAAGATTATTTTTTGATGTATCAAAAATGTATATTTTAATTATTTGTATCCAAAAAGTTGTTCACAAATTTATACTAAAAAAGAAAATCATAACTAAATTTGATTACATAATAATTTGGTTATAAAGTCAAATTATAAGTACATGTGTATAAAGTACTTGTACTTGCGCAAGTAATTCATCTTAACAAGTATTGCGTAATGTATATAATCTACTCTATAAAACATTTTTTTTATTGCTTTTGGTGGTTTGCCAATAAATATTCCCATTAAACACATGTTTGTACAATTTCCCAGGGATAAGAGTACATTATCCATATTAAAGTTGTTATAAAACACATGATTACCGTCAGCTTCGCGCACTTTATTACTGTCGAGCAGGAAATAAACGCGCTTTAAAGTTATAGCAGCAAATCCTTCGTCGAAACCTCTTAAATTAATTGCTTATCGACCGGAATTATTTGATTGGTTAGTTATTTCCGTTTCCTCATTTTTTTTTTGCCTTCAGTCGCTAGAAGAAAAATTAATTTTATAATTCTATGGATGGAAACTTGGACGAAGTGCAGAGAAAAACAGCTTAATCAAAAGGAAAGAAATAAAAGTAAATACGCTTCACACTTTCCTCTTAATTCCATTTGATTATCAGCATTTTAATTTACAATTTATTTTTAACGTGCAATCTGCTTCAAAGCAATTTCGTTTTCCAATTTTCACGTAGTTTACAAGCAATTTAAATCAATTGGTCGTTGATTTTTTTTTAATTATACTTCAATTTATCAACAAAATTCATTGATAATTTACAGATTTGTAAGCGAAATAAACGTACTAATCAATTATATTTGTTTTTAATCCAGATTATATAAGAAATTTAGATATTAAATTCGTTTAAAATAATAATGGGATTAAAATTCAAGAATTTAATATGTTGTCTTAAAAATTCAAGTGTTATTGTGCGTCAATACCTCGCATAGTGCGGGTAATCGGACTGTTTGGTAACATACTAAATTAAATAAACATAACAATAAGAGACGTAACTGTAAAGAAGCAAAATAATTTGATATTTTCAAACCGTACTATAGTGAATCGAAGCAGGACTAAACGAGGTATTTCTGTATTGCATAACAGAATTGATTTAGGATGTAGTTCATAAGTGAAATTGCGTAACAGGAAAATTAATTTTCTAAAAATATTTACATTAGTATATTTAAAATGAAATATGTGTAATTTCGAAAATAAATAAATGTAGGCACTTTCTGTAAATTCCGTCTAGTATTTATAGTCTGGACGTTTTTTGTTTCTTATTGGCAGCGCCGTTTATTTGTCCAAAGCTTGTACATCGTACAAACAAATTGTGCTCGATGCACGTCAACGTCGTTCGCATGGACATCAAATAAAAACCTGTATTCTCATACAGATTTCTTCTTTCGAATATTTATGTTTTATTTTTCTTGTTTTACTAGTTTGTTTGCCGTTTCTTGTTTTCCTGTTGTTTCCAGAGGCTTCAGAATTCTAAAACCGGAGCTATTTTCGGGCCAGTTTCGGCGCGGATAAACTTAGAAAATATGTCTGGCAGCGGTCGCAGCCGCCTGCATACGTGGCACATGTCCAACGCGCAAAACTGATTTTTGGCCTCTTACACCCAATTAAACCGTGTATCCTGGTAACATCGCAAAGTATCGTATAAAAATTATATAATAATACTTTATAATTCCGATAAAGTTAGAGAGTTTCAAGTGCTTGAAAGGCGAACTTCAAGCACTTAATTCAGAGTTAAGCTTTAATTTTTTTGTTGCTGTTTTAGCAATCAACACTTTTATGGTTCTAAATCATTAATAAATATTGAAAAATGTCAATTTAATCATTTAACTTATGAATTATAACATAAATTAAATCTATGTTTGATTGGAAAAACGATAGAAAACTTCAAATAAATTTTAACATTTCGAAATTGGCAAATGTTTGAATGGATATTTTTATAAAACTTTCAAAAATCTGTTGATTCAATTACGTCTACAAATGAATTTCAAACGTATATTTAGAAGATTCAATTATAAATTATTATCAGAATTTATAAATAAGAACCTGATAAAGTTCTCAATAAGTGTCCTAAACTAGTGTTAAATATTCTATTATAAATTATGGAATAAATTGTATAAATTTCTGTAATAAAGTACAACAAAAACCTCGATCAGTCCGGATTCTCGGTTAGAAAATTTCAAAACAAATTAAATTGAAATTTAGAAGTACTTAAAATATTTAATGTAAACTTAGACTAATTTGATAATTTATAATTTAGTTAGTGAACAAAATATAATTTTATCACTCTTTTCAAATCCTCTCATAATTAGTAATGTCAAACTTTCAAGTATTTGTTAAACATAAACAAAATTCTCAAATTCATCTATTTTTATAAAAACGTAAGTAATAATAATTTATAAAGAAACTTTAACTTGAAAAAGAAGTGTGAAAACTAAATGATTTTGTATATAAATCTTTGAAAAAAAATAAATCAATTTCTTATTAAAAGTTTCAATGTTAGATATCGTTGATACGGATTAGGATGAAGTTGAAACTTGAATGATTGTTGTTGAATTGAAAAATTTAGTTGAAAACCCAATTTTATTTTAAATAGATTTTTCTTCCGCCTGGACGTGTTTGAAAAGGTGTGCATGCAATCGGTGAATTGATTCACACTGGATGCTTTTTCCTAGTCTCTTTTTTTGTATTTCTATTTCCCACATAACTTTTTTTTCCTCACTTTTTTTGCATCTGCTTTCGTTGCATTTGGCGCAGGAAGGCCGGAACATAATTTGCGATTACTTCCTGTTTGTCGAGCTGCACAAATATTGCGGATCTCCTGTTCACATATTTCTCGCTTTACAGGTAAATAAAAACACATACATTTTAAAAAGCATAAAATGTTAAGCGAATACTCAAAAAAAATTCCTTCATTGTCAAGTCTGTTGTAAATAAATATACTATTTTGTCTTAATTATTTTCTTTTTCATACTAATTATGTAAAGAAATATAAAATAAGATCTGGGATTAATGATTTCTTAGATAACTTTACTTCCAGGCATATTTCTTTACATGTATATTTGGTTGCAGAAATTATAAATATTACAATCATATTTCATATAATACATCTCGATCAACGAAAAGGATACGTTTCACGAAATTACTTTGTTAAGCGTTTTTAGAGGTAAACAATACTATGACCAGAATACGTTTCTTTGTATTGTAAATGAATAACTTTTTTTGTAACTTAGAAAAGTTGTATACAAATTGAAATCACATTTTACCATATTTTTCTTATTTATATTACACAATTATTGCATTTAACACTGATTGTTTAACAATAATAGTTCTTTCTAAATTTGTATAATTTTCACTAAAAAAGTGTAAAATGTTTTCAAAATCATTTAAGGACTTTTTTAATCTTTATTTTCCTAAATCTGTTTAACTTAATGTATAATTTCTTGATATTTTCTTGGCATTGAAAAAAATCTTTATGTTTATGGGAAATTGAGGCCTTCGTAATATCGAAAATACTTTATCAGAGGCAACATTAACCGAGGTATTTGTTGACAGAAATAGGGCTGTAATCTTAATATAATTGAATTTTAACAAATTAACTATATAACTATAAATTCGACAAGGGTCTATATCTCAAGCCCGACAACCGAAATACCGTCTATCGAAATTCCGACTATATCAAAATCTAGACAAACATAAAACCCACTATATCAAAATCCCGATTATATTAATTATTAATAACAATAAATTATAATTAATTTATTTGATTTTGTTGAATTATTTATAATAAACCATTATGAAATAATCTCAAATAAAATTAGATTATTAATTGTTATTTATTATTAATAACAATTTAGCGTAGTCACTCGCTCCGGAATAATTTAAAAATGTAATTGAAAACATTTTCGATATAGTCGGGATTTTCATACTGTCGGGATTATGGTTGCCGGGATTTTAATATAGTCGGGATTTCAATACAGTCGGAATTTCGAACGTCGGGAATTTGATTGATGGTATTTCGGTTGTCGGGTTTACGATTGCCACCGATACGACAATTCTGTCTCCCAATTGAAGTTTATGTAAACTATGAATGGCTGTGATACGAAGTTTCATAGCTATTCATAGTTTACAATTATATTTGTATTATGGTGAAAAGTCAAAATTTACTTTGAAAACTTATTAACATAGATGTCGCCTTTTCGGACAGATTACCAATTAGTTAAAATAGTAATAGTCGCCTGTATCACGAAAATCCGATACGATAAAGTTGGTTCAAAACAAAAAATAAAACAACAAAAATTTGTGGGGGCCGATAAACCCCAAATGGAAAAGCAAACTTTTGTTCGAGCCCTCGTATATATTTTAGTTAAAACAAATAATAAATATTTACTTAAAATATAAACATGTTTGGGCGCTATAGACCTTATTATTCTCTTAAATTTTTATAAAAACTATGAATATTTCCTTTAGTCTTTCTATAACGGAATTAACACTTTAACATTTTAATAATATCCATAGCAAAAATACAAACATACTTTTGAATTTGAGTATATTACAGATTTATTTTGTATTATAATGTGGTAAAATAGACAACGCTGCAACTACTCTCCACGGAGCAACTATGCTTCCAAAATTCGATGAGACAGGATCGAACCGTGAAGAGAGATGGTCAAGGTCTTTAGTTGAGGAGATTTTTTTATATATATTTGTGTGCTCCAAAGGACAGTTGGTGTTCTCGGAGTCAAGACCCACCGTCGGAGAAGCTTGCTAATCTTAAGGAAGCAGTTATTAGAGTTCTTTCTCTCAATAAAAGGAAGTGGCGCCCTGGATCTTCCCAGTTTGTCTTAAAATTTTCAACTGTAATGAATCCGCACTAATCGAAATCGCACTTACCTCGCATAGTGCGGTATTTTATAGATTATTTTTCAATGATACGACTCTATTATTACTAAACTTTCGGTGCTTAATTTAAATAATTTGTTCTTTTCTATATTCTATCATAATTGTTTCATTAATTGATAATAGGTGTCGCGTATATACGTCAGAAACTCACGCCCAAGTCGTGATCATGATTTTATACAAGATCAAAAAATTAACATTAAAGATTAAGGTCACAGGTCTTTTGTATTGTCAATTTTCGATATATTATTTAAATATCAACCTGATTTAAAATAAAAATAAATGGATGCAATCAGTTTATTGGGTAAAGCAAATTTGTAAGTATAATTTTTTGCGAATGGATATTTGTAACCTTCCTGCAGATGCATTTATAACAAATTAATGCAATTTCTAAGTGTGAAATGAGAATTCGTATACGAATGCAGAGATGCAAGAGCATTTGAATGCGATTGCAGCAAGAATCCGAGTCGTTTTCTTTAATTAACAATTTGGATCTGTATCGTACGAAGCAATAAATAATTAAGTTCACTTACTATCTGGAATTATGGGGAGCGGCGTAGCACGTAGAAGTAGTTAGGAAAATTAGCATTCCCGCTAACACCAGGAAAAGCACGAACGAGGAACGGAAAGCGAATGCTGGACTCTTCATTGTCTGGAACACACAAAAAAAAACATAATATATATTACTTTGATTAAATTGAAAACCAATTATAGAAAATATATGTCTGTAATGGATCTTAACGATAAAATCGTTTTCTGAACTATTAACCTCCGAGTAATTGTTCTCGCACTGTTTGAAACCAGACTAATCGAGGACTTTAAAAACGTATAAAAATAAATAGCACAAAAAGGGACTTAACTATATTTATTTGTATTTTTATCAATTAAAATTTAGTTTGTCTTAAAATTTTCAACTGTAATGAATCCGCACTAATCGAATAATCGCACTTACCTCTCATAGTGCTGTATTTTATAGATTATTTTTCAATTATTACTAAACTTTCGGTGCTTATTTTATATAATTTGTTCTTGTAATGTAAATTGCTGTCATAAATGATTCATTGATTGTTAATAGATGTCGCTTTCATAAATTGTCAAATTGCCATATTTACTAAGAAGATTATTAGAAATTAATTTTGGTAAAGTACAAATTCACATATTTACACAAAAACTCTTAAAATTTGATAATCAAATAGAAGACTAATAGAGATTTTACAAATTTTGTTAATTCAAAATTGACTGAAAATTAAGAACGGATATCGTTTCATACGCATAATAAAAATAAAACTGTATGTAAACAGCATGAAAATATCGACAATAAATGTGAAATATGCGATGTATGTGATCATAAATAAAATAATGGTCTTTGGAAATATTATACACATCAAAAAATACACATATACATATTTGTGTGTACCAGCTCAGTCAGATTTTAAGTGTCTGTAACATCAAGAAAGAGCACGACTGTAATTTAATATCAGACGTGCTGTAAGAATTCGTCCCGGTTTTAAGATCACAGACGGTGATAACTTTAACCGATCGCAACACAATATTCGCATCGCTTATGTTTTTATTACGACACCGTTTTTTTTCTAGCAACCCCTTAGAAAGGTGATTTGGTATAAGGAATGAAAAAAAAACTTGTCGCGTTAGTGAAAACGAGATTTTTCTTACTGTAAAAACGTTGTATAAAGGTTATCACGCAAAACTCAATTTCAGATTTCTTCTGTTGTTCAATAAAAATGTTACTGGTATTAATGCAACGAATTTTCGTGTTTTTATTGTATTTGAAGTGAAGGGTGTTATTTTTTATTGTAATTCATTGATAGTTTATGAATTAAATTAGTAAAATATGTAAATAGTTAAAAATAGATAAAAGGTGTTTTTAGTCTTCAGATTGCGTTTTTTTTTGGGGTTGACACTTTACTGCGGCAAATTCAAATCTTGCGTTAGTTTTGGGACACCCTTTATAATTTATATGAATAATTAAAAGTATAAATATTATTGTATAATATTAATGCTTAAACTCTTTTTTGTCGTGTTAAATACTATAATTAATACAAAATATATCAAAATTAAGCAAATTATATGAAAATATTTCATGGAAATTACAATTGTTAATTTATTTTCTAATGACATCTAATGACATACAAATAAAATATAATTTTTTTAAGGAAAATTTTGATCTCTTGCTATATTTTGTTTGACAAATATTTATTCATTTTATTAGTAAATAACTGAAGAACTACTGAAAACTACTTTCTTTACTCTGCATCTATTTGTTGTTAACTTTTAGAATACATCATCACTCAATTTTTGTATGAGGGTTCAAAGAGGATAATAGAATCTTCTCAAAACCAAAATGTTGTTATCAGGATTTTGTTTTCCATAATTTCTGACAAATTTGATTCATCACTGTTGGATAAAGATCTTTCGCTTGAACTACTCACACAGTCGCGTCAAAGCATATTATTTGAATATTTTTTTACAACTTCAATAATTATTAATTTAATTTTATTACAAATTAATTTTATTACGTAATAAAGTAAAACAAACTTTACACATTATTTCAGGTTTTTACGTAAAGGGCTTAAGAATAAATTTGTATGATTACAGTGCTAACTAAATCGTCTATAGAACGTCCTAATATGAAAGTAGCATTTAAATTTCGCGCCATTTTTTGCATATAGTTGGCAGCTCTAAAAATTGTATATGTGACATCTGTTATTCTTGAAATTAGTGAATATGGAATACTACACAACATTATAGTTATTATTGTTTAAGCTCATTTTAAGACGTAGCTAAATGGAAGAATCAGAAGGAAGGAAAAAAACTCATTTTAACATAAGAAAAATTGTGTAGTTCCTATACTTTGTAGTATTGTCAGTCATAATCTTAGAAAGTAAATATAAATTAGCTTTTAAATAATACGAATGAATATAACAAATTGTACAAATTGATGTGGCAATGAAATTTTGGATTATTATTGTGCAGTTATTTTTTAATGAATAAATAAAGAAGTAGTGTTAATAAATAAATGAAACTATGAAATTATGTTGTAAGTGTATTAAACATGTAATAGATAAAAGTTAATAGATTTATGAGATTATTAAGTAACGTTCTGCATGTAGGAAAACATGACAAACTGCCTCTATTTTGTGCATTACATCGCAGCGCGAAAACTTTCGGGCAGGAAATGAGCGTAATTTAGTTAAGAGTTTCGGGAACAGCAATTATTCCATCTGGTAGGGTAACGCTATTTGCAGAAAGATCAGCAAATTAGGTCCTCAGCCGGAAGCGCTCCGGAGGACCGGATATGTCTTCACACGAGCACAGACATCCAACATGGCAGCTCAGTATGTTGATGATACGATTAGTTGGACAATCGAAATACATGCATGCAGTTTCTGTTGTTGAAAGTTATTATAAACTTAAGCCATTGCCAACATATTTCTTTGTAGTTATTGCTAAGAGAATTTCATCAATTCCTCGCTTTGACACAAGGTGACAACTGTCATTTTGTGACATATTAACGAAACCCATAGATTGAAAAACGCCCTTATAAAGTTGTATGACAAAGGCTTAATAATATGTGTATATAATTATTAATACAAAATAATTAAGGTATTTAATGTCTCAATTTAAATTTCGTACCATTTTTGTATATAGTTGACTAAAGAAAGATATTATAAACATCTATTATTTTAATTGCATTTTTTTTTTGCATGATTATCAAACTCTTAACCTATTTTGTTACATACACAATAACTATTATCGATGATTCCTATGATATTAGATTAGTATAGGCATTTTTACATATAAATATGTTTGTTTGGTTTTACATAAATAATTTTGGGGTGTAGAATCTTAAATTATTACTTGATATTAACTGAAATTCAATTAAACAGTTTAAACAACAGTTTCTAATAGGATTATGGTGGAGATATATGCGAAGATATAAAGTATTTGGATGCAAATGTTTGTAAGTCCTGAAGGATATACACAGGAAGACGAATGAGTTGCAGGTGGGAGCAGAGGATACCCGGAATTGGGCGGTTTCAGTCGGCGGTTGAATAATGTATTCAATCAGTTAGGCGAGAATCCGATTAATTAGCATTCGCTGTAGCGACGGAGGCGCCGGGCAAGCGGTTATCTAATCAGGGGAATCCCCGCGGCTACCAACGAAATAATCCGTTTACGTTCGCGCAATTTGCCTTGCGGCAACTTGAAATCTTGCATAACGCACATTGGGAAAAAAGTAAGTGAACGTAAAATTATAAGAATAATTTTGACTTTCATCGAGGGTGCGAAGAAAATAATTATGTATTTTCGGAAACCCATTTCTCGGAGGTTGCGAGGGATGTTAGAATGCTGTTTTACGTGTAATTAGGGCGTAAGATTTGTGCGTTTCATGGCTCCAGGGGATGTCGAGGGTGGTTGGATGGTTTGAGAGGACCAGAGGCTTGGATTCCCGCAGGAATCGCATAGTTTGAAAAGCCCGGACATTCTGCACATGCTTTCGCAAAGGTATCCTTCCAGAGGACCCTTCACGGAGAAAATAAATTCACATTTTTACCTTCGTTTTGTTTTCTTTCTTGAATAGCTTAATTTGTTTTCTTTTGTTTTCCACTTGTCTCATTCGCTTTGGAAAGATTATAAGGGTATACACGGTTTCTAGGGAATACTTTAAAGATCCAATTTATCTAAATATAATGCATCTCTAATTTCATTACTTGCTTGAAATAAAACAAAATAAATTGTCTTTTTACAATGTATATGTTTTAACATATACAATTTTAAAGACTTTTTGTATTTTTTTCGATTGCGTAATAATATTGCGTAATAAAAAAAATTGTGCTAAATTATTGAAATTAATAAAGTTGCAATAAGTTTTCCTGAAAATACTTTTCTTCATTTTTAAAAATATAATTTTGTCATTAAATTAGCTGTAAATTCATTACAAATATTGAATATATAGATATTAGAAAATTGTGCGAAAATATTAAAATTATTAAAGTTGCGACAAGTTTTCAAGAGTTTTAGAAATTAAAAAAAAATAATACATTTATTGTAGGGTGATAGATACGAATTTGTTAGGTTTACTAAAATTATACAAAAAAAACATTTGTTAGTATACATTAGAGCAGTGATTTTCAAACTTTTTGGTCCGCAACCCCTATTGAACTTAAACAATTTAAAGTACCCCCAGAAATAAGGTTATGTGTAGAAAAATGTAGAAAACATACTGTCATCAATTTTTTTGCGACTCTCCAAGTACTTTTCATGACCCACTTGGGTTTGCGACCTTCACTTTAAGAATCACTACATTAGACTTTAATATCTAAAATTTAGCAATTAGAATAATAATAAATCTTCAGAGTTTATAAATTTCCTAAATTCTAAAGATTCAAACATATTTGAAGATAATTTTAGTAATTTCGGGTAATTTTAAGCAAATTTTGTAATTTCTAATGAAAAATGATTAACATTTTAAGTAATTATAGATTTTATGCTATATAATTGTGTTATCATATAGTTTTAATTCCTGTTTATAAATAAATAATTTAATATTTCTATATATTAGTTAAAATTTGTAGAAAAAATAAATAATTATAATATTTCCATAAGCTTATCAAGAAATAAATAATGCAG